ATGGGGATGGGAGGTAACAGGAGGGAGAGTGACAGGAGAGAAATGTCCCAAAGGAGGGAGGCCACATGGGTGAGAATGTCACAGGTGAGGGAGGGCCACAGGAAAAGAATGTCACATAGGGAAGGGAAGGTCATGGAAGAAGGGGTGTCATAAGGAAAGTATCGTGGGGGAGGGAGGGCCATGTGGGAGGGAGGGTCGGGGGGGGAAGGAGGGCCAGGGGGGAGGGAGGGTCGAAAAGGAAAGGCAGCCAGAAGGCCCGACCACAGCACAGAGCTGCCGGCCCCCGGTGCCCGCCTGTCACTGTAACATCTTAGACATCACACCTGGTTTCATCCCTCTTAGCCAGCATCCCTCTTGGTCTCATCCATTGCCTGGGAGCTTACTCTGAAGCAAGAAGCCAGTGTCTTTCTTTGGAAAGAATGCTAAGAGGCCCTCAAGAGTCATGGCCCCTTATCCTGCTCTCGCCTCTATGTTTTGGGAAAGAGCAGAGGTCTGGATGCCCACAGAACCCATGTTCTGGTTTCCCAGGCCTGGGTTCCACATGTATGCTTCTTCTTCATGTGTTACCAAAGCAGCCACACAACGACACCGCCTGCACTGCTCTCTTGAGCAAGCCCCTTCCCCATGTGGTGCGCGCGCGTGCGCGCACACACACACACACACACACACACACACACACACACACACACGCATACACACACGCGCACACACATACACACACATACACACTCACATGCACACGCGCGCGCACACACATATACACGCGCACACACACACGCACACACACATACACGCACACACACATACACACTCACATGCACACAGGCACACACGCGCACACACACATACACACACGCACACACATACACACACGCACATACACACACACACACACACACACACACACACACACACACCAGGTCTTCATCTGACATCTCTCACCACTCTTTAGAAGAAAGTGGCTGTGCCCATGTGAGCATCTCCCTGTACACGAGGTGGGCCAGGGCCAAGGCTGTCCTTCCTTTCCCTGGGGACACTGATATCAACCACCCTGGAAGCCTCAGGCCCCACCTGAACCCATGCTGGGGGCGGGGGATGTAGTTCCACTTCTGTCAGACCCAGGCACTGGCCTCTTGTACTCTGAGTATGTTTGTATCAGCTATGTCTTGTAAATTCTCAGGTGATTAAAAGTCCCAACCACACAGCACGATCAGCGGCTAAGCCAATGGCCCCTCCTCTCCTCTGTCTCCAAATTACACAGTGGGTCACGTGTCCTTAACAGCCGCCATGCCCCTAATGACGTGATGGACCTTGCAGGTGGGCCTGATGCCCTACTAAGAGGCGGCCTACAATGAAGTGTGGCTCTTAGCTAGGCAGCTGCCTGGGCTATGTCTGATTTGAGAGGGTGGTGTGCTGGGATTGACTAGTCATGTCTGCCATGGGTGTAGAAATGGGTCTTAGGCTGTACCAGTGAGTCTCATCAAGTGGTGAGTGTGACCGCCCATGGATATTAGTGATGCCTGGGGACAGCTGTGGATGCCGCACGGGAAGATGGTACTGCGTGAGTCTCTTGGGTCAGAGCCAAAGATGCCACTAGCCACCCTGTAGAATCCAACAGCCAGAGATGGAGTTACCAAGCCCCAAACTCAATGCAGTCCAGACTAGCACCCGACCAGGGCCAGGATAATGGCAAGAACAGAGCATGAGCAGAAAAGGAGGTAGATGTGTCTTTGTTTTGAACAGGAAATAGATGCGACATGGTACAGAAATGAGGAAGTGTGCTGAACACTGATGGCGGAAACAGGGGAGGAAGAGCTGGCCACCCTCTGTGTCTGTGGTGCTGGTTTCTCTCCTCTGCAAAATGGACCGAGTTGCCCTCAACAGACATCCAATTTCAGCAAGATGACCTGGAACGGCCTTTGTCATGTATCCGCCCCAGTGGAGCGTCATGGGATCTGATACCTTACCCTAAGTCATTTCACAGATGTCCACCAGGAAAACACCTAGTCCTGTTTGCCTGTGTGACCTTGGGTTTCCGAAGCCCCGCCTTCCTGAGCTGTGAAATGGGCTCATCCCTCCTGCCAGAGCCGCAGGACTGTCAAGGGCGAGTGAAATGCTTGATCCCGAGGAGCAGCGTCTCAACGCTGTGGCTCTCCCAGCTGCCCTCTCTGAAACCAGAGCCCCAACACCAGCTGGTTCCCAAAGACAGCTGAAAATGAGCTCAGGTTGGTGGGCGAAGAGGAACTCCCAGGACCCTGAGCCCCGACATCCCTACCCCAGCTAAGGGCCAGCTGTGTGGTAAACATGTCCAGTCCTGGCCGATCACCAGGCTCTGGCCTCTGCTGAGAGAGATGCCCACAGACACACAGTTTGTTTGTTTTTTTTAAATCTGAGATTGCATGTTTTCTTTCCAGTCTTGGATGACAATGATGTGGAAGGTTTGGGGGAGGAAACAGTAGATGGGGCTTCTAACAGGGCTGTTGAAATGCCTCCATGAAAGACAGACAGATACAAGCCCAATCCTGTCACCGCAGAGCTGTGTGTCCCTAGGCAAGTGGCCTCTCCTCTCTGTGCCTTAGCATAGAGGGAGTACCGGACAGCACCCCACAGACTCCATTTACCCCAAACGATCCTCTCCAGCTTTCAGATGCCTTGATTGTGCCCAATGCATCTGAGGAATGGGCCACCGACTTAGCACAGACCCTCCGAACATGTCCTCGTCTTCCAAGGACCGTATGTATCAGGAGGGCGGCCCCCTCCCTCCTAGAGGCCTGGTAGAGATGCAGTCTGAGGTCTTGCTTTTAGGTAGAAGCTGTGGGGGAGTCTTTCCAGTGTCTGGATCTCATCTCTAAGTGGCACTGAAGGGGACGCCATTCTACACACAGTCTACCCAGACCTTGGGGACAACCGGAGCCGAATAAAGTGTGGTGTATCTTCCGTACTTATGACAGATGACACTTGTGGTGAGCAGGCCCCCACCACACCACACGTGCACACCACTTGTGCAGCCCACACATACACCCCACACAGGCACACTCCACACATGCACACCACATACATGCACACCCCACACATGCACAGCACACACATGCACAGCACACACACACACACACACACACACACACACACATGCACACACCACACATCAAAGAGAAGGCTATGAAACCGGATCTGGGTGGGCACCAGCCGGAGCTTCAGTCCCTGGCTGATCCCAAAGACTGCTCACAGAGTCTGAGATAAGCCTGGACCATGCATTCCAGGGCCCTTCCCAGGCCACTGTGAGGGAGGCACCAATGTCCAAGGTGGGACAGACCCCGCTGGTATCTAAGTCCTGGAGGAGAGGTCAGGGGGTGGTTGGGGCCTCGGCCCTCAGATGTTTATTAGAAGAAAATCCAAAATCTCCACCGGGAAGGTCATAGCCAAGGTCACAGGTCAGTAGCATAAGGCCCTGTGACTCAAGGTGACCAGGACCATATGCAGGAAGAACGGAATTGTCGCCCAAAGGCCCCTCAACAAGAGGGCCAGCCACCGACTCCTGTCATCCTTCTATGGCTCCCCCCCCCTTTTTCCTTCTTCCTCCTTCCTGCAGCTGCCTCTGCTCTCCCCCCTCCCCTCTTCCTGCCCCTCTTTCCCTCCCCTCCCCCTGCCCCTTTCTTTCTCCCCTCCAGCCTCCTGTTCCCCAGAACATCCCTCTCCTGGTGCTCCACCTGCCACTGTCCACATCGCTGCAGCTCAGACTCAGCTGCAGGAGCAGGTGCCCTGACAGGAACCGTCCACGAGGGTCAAAGAGACAGTCAGCAGCCTGGAGTTCCCAGCCCCGAACGAGGTCGATGCCAGCCTGGCACTGGGACGTCCTGGGGAGGCCGGGACTCTTCCCTGCTGCTCCCCTGAGGTCTGCAGCTTGGAGGCCTCTGAGCTACCGACAGATTGTGGTGAAGTTTCCCTGTCCCCAGGGCCACTGGGGCCTGTGGGTCTCCTCCACAGGAAGTGGATGCCAGTGTGCCACAGCGAACACCTCCTTCAATAATACGGAATACCGAATCCTCCAGCCTTGGGCCACCGGCCCCTCCCCCACCACACACACACAGGCTTCATTTGAAACAAAATCCCACGGAAGCTCAGGCTCATGTTCAGCAGGTCTGAACACCCAGGAGGGGAAAACGGAGGCCTCTGAACAAACAGAAAACCAGCTTAAATCGATGAAACTAAACACATACGGTCACATATGTCCATATACACACATATCACACACACATACATAAACATACATATACATACATACCACACATAAACATACATATACATACACCACATACATATATATATACACAACACATCTATACACATACACACAACATATATACACACATACATAGATACACATGCCACACATAAACAGATACATATATATGTACATAACCCACATACCTACACATATACATATATACCACAAACATACATATATGCACATACATACCACACACACGTACTATATGCACACTCACATAGACATAGCTACAACACATACACATACATATCACACACACACACACACACACACGCACGGTGGATGTTAACTCAGAACTCAACACATTTTTTAAAATGAAGATCTGCGGCGGCGAGCCGTGGTCTGGCGAGAGAGCTCAGCAGGAGATTGCAGCCAAGCCTGGCAGCCCGGAGTTCTACCCCAGGGACCCAGAAGGTAGACAGAGAGAGAGTCTGCTCCCCAAAGTCATTCTCTGACTTCCACACGTGTGCTGTGTGGCATGCCTCCCTCCAGATAAATAAATCAATGTCAAAATACATGTTTTTTAATGCTTGGCAACGCAGACACAAAACTCGGACCCTTAACCGGTGTTCTCACACCACAGAACCCGTTGTTGGAGCAAACACCACAGGCCCGAGAAGCGCTCGCCATCGGGAAGGCCTAAAATAGACCCAGTGTCCCAAGGCCTCACACCCGCCACAGCGTGCCAGCACAGACCCCAGCCCGACCATACCTGATGGCCTTGGGCTTCTGGAACCCACTCCTGTCCACGGAGTCTCCCGAGTGGTCACGCAGGGACCCCAGCGAGCGTGGAGAGCCGGGGCGGCCGGGAACAGTGTCGGGCGCCCGCTGCACAGACTCACATCCCTCCCTGTGCCTCCTCCCCCAGCCGGCAAGATAGCAGCAGCTGGGCCACAGTCATTTCCAAAATTAGCCTGTGAGCCCCAGGTCTGGCCAGGAGACACAGCCGGGGTGGTGGCCGCTGAACCAGCTGTGGACAGCATGGACATATATGGTGACGGGGAGGGGACGCACTGGACAAGCATGTTCCCAGCCTTCATCTTATCACACACCCGAGCTGCAGCTTGTGCCCCCCGGGAGAGAGGAGGACAGTGACCCCTCTACCCCACCGGGCTGGGCAGAAGGTGCCGGAACCCCTCTGGTGGCTCCCTGTGAAGGGGAAGGAGTAAACAGGCTGAGCGGGCACTATCTCCCACAGCCAGCGAGCTTCCTGCTCTAATTCAGGCAGTATTCCCAACAGCCCTGCTGCGGAAGGGGTTCTCTCAACCCCCCCATTCTACAGGTGGAAACTGAGGCACCAGCCTGAACACTTGGGGCTGGCGATAAGGCTGAGTGAGTGAGTCAAGGTGCTTGCTGCTGAGCTGCCGAAGCTCTGCGTTCAATCCCCAGGGCTTCTGAGGCCTGACCTCTGACCTCCACCATGTCCCTAGTGCGCGCGCGCGCGCGCGCGCGCGCGCGCGCACACACACACACACACACACACACACGGAAATAAAGACGTGTAATTTAGAGCATTTTAGGTTACCCAGCTGGTCCAAGGCACTGGAAAGCCAATACTTCACCCAGGTAGTACTTACTCCAGAAGCAGTCCTAAACACAACGCGTGCTAACCCAGCCTCTGCCCGAAGGGCTTTGTCCTGAGCTGGGTGGGGCACTGTGTAGAGTCAGCGCTTAGCCTGCATGTGGCCCTGGGTGTCAGCTCCAGAGCGTGACAGAAGGTTAAGCCTTCGGTCCTTAGCATGTCTGCAGGGGCACAGGTCCACACGATAGGAGGGATCCCGTCAGAACTCAAGTCCAGGACTCTAATCATGCAAACACAGCAGGCTCTCCCAAGCGTATTTCCACACTCCGTATGTGTGTGAGAGTGTGTGCAAGTGTGTGCGAGTGTGTGTGTGAGAGAGAGAAAGTATGTGCGAGTGTGTGTGTGTGTGTGTGTGTGACAGAGAGTATGTGTGTGTGTGTGTGTGTGTGTGTGTGTGTGTGTGTGTGTGTAGGGGGGTGTTCACATGCCTGCAGGTGCACGTACATGTGTGGGTGCATGCTGTTGTGTATGGAGGGCAAAGGTTACCTTTGGGGTGCCATGCTTCAGGATGCCGCCCACATTATTTTTGAGACAAGGTCTCTGACTGGCCTGGAACTCACATATTCCCTGGGTCCGGGTGCCTGCACGGCAGTATATCACCTTCCCTCCACTCCCCGTCTCAATGAGGCATTAACCTCACAAAGGGCACATTTCCCCTTCTCAGTCTGGGTTACTATTGCTGTGATGAGACACCATGACCAAAAGCCAGGTGGGGAGAAAGGGTTTATTTGTGTACACTTCCAGATCATAGTCCATCATTGGAGGAAGTCAGGACAGGAACTCAATCAGGGCAGGAACCTGGAGGCAGGAGCTGATGCAGAGGCCATGGAGGGGTGCTGCTTACTGGCTTGTTCCCCATGGCTTGCTCAGCCTGCTTTCTTATAGAACCCAGGACCACCAGCCCAGGGATGCCCCCCTCCAACAATAGGCTAGAACCTCCCATATCAATCACTAATTAAGACAATGTCCTACAGCTGGATCTCATGGAGTCATTTTCTCAGTTGAGGTTCCCTTCTCTCCGATGACTCTAGTTTGTGTCAAGTTGACATAAAATAAGCTAGAACAACTTGTCAGCTTGTCACACAAACACATCACTTTTCAATTAGAACCTTTCCTTTCTCATTTAGCCCCGAGATGGCATGTTAATATTAATATCCAATATAAAACATAAGTGGCTTTCAGAATCCCACAGTCTTTACAAATTCAAACACATTAAAAGTTCAGTCTTTAAAAAACATCCAATCTCTTTTAAAAACCAAAGTCTCTTTTAAAAGTTCAAAGTTTCTCAACTGTGGACTCTTGTCAAATCAAAAACAAGCACTTTCTTACTCCAAGGGGGCACAGTCACAACCCAAACAAAGCAAAACCAAACTTGAACTGTGTAAATAACTCAGTGTCCAATGTCTGGGATTCACTCACCATCTTCTGGGCTCCTCCCAAGGGCCTGGGTCACTTCTCCGGCTCCGCCCTCTGAAGCACACACAGCTTGTCTTCTAGGCTCCGGCTGGCTCCACTCCACAGCTGCTGCTGTCCTTGGTGGTCATCGCATGGTACTGGCATCTCCAAACACTGGGGTCTCTGCTGCAACTGGGCTGCACTTTCACCAATAGCCTCTCCTGGGCTCTCTTCAGGGACTCGAGCCCTGCTGCACAGTGCCAAGCCTCATTTGCTCTCCATGACCCCTTCAAGCCTTCAAAACCAGCACCACCTGGGGAACTCTTACAAGTTCAGCTACCAGCACGAGGAGCAACCTTGGCTGCCTCTGGAACATAGCTTCAGTGTGCTGACCCTGAGGAAACTCTTCCCAGAAGACTTCACCTCAACGATGCTGGTCTTTTCTCAATCACTGCTGATTTTTCAGCCCCAGCTGAGCAGCATCCATGGTCCCAGCAAAGCAAAGGTTTCACTTCAGTGGTTCTGGTCTCCTGATAATCACAGCTGATTCTCCAGCCCCAGCTGACCAGATACCACAGATGCTTCACACAAATGCCCCTGTAGAGTCTTTGCTTGCCTCAGAAACTTCACAAGCCAGGCCTCCATCATCTGCACTGCTCTCAACATTCTTATCTTCCAAGCTCCTCAGGACAGCTCACTGAGCTCTCAACACTCAGTGGCTTTTCCAGCCCAAAGTTCCAAAGTCCTTCCACAATCCTCCCCAAAGCAGCGTGGCCAAGTCTGTCACAGCAATACCAGGTAATATCCTGGTACCAACTTGTCTTAGTTAGGGTTTCTGTTGCTGTGATGAAACACCATGACCAAAGCAACTTGGGGAGAAAAGGGCTTATTTGTTTACACTTACACTTTGTAGTCCATCACTGAAGGAAGTCAGGGCAGGATCCTGGAGGCAGGAGCTGATGCAGAGGCCATGGAGGGGTGCTGCTTAATGGCTTGCTCCCCATGGCTTGCTCAGCCTTTCTTTTTTCTTTCTTTCTTTCTTTCTTTCTTTCTTTCTTTCTTTCTTTCTTTCTTTCTTTCTTTCTTTCTTTCTTTCTTTCTTTCTGTTTTTTTTTGAGACAGGGTTTCTCTGTATTGTTTTGGTGTCTGTCCTGGATCTCGCTCTGTAGACCAGGCTGGCCTCAAACTCACAGAGATCCACCTGGCCCTGCCTCTACAGTGCTGGGATTAAAGGTGAGCGCCACCACCACCTGGCTTAGCCTGCTTTCTTACAGAACCCAGGACCACCAGCCCAGGGGTGGCCTCACTCATAATAGGTTGGATCCTCCCTGATCAATCACTGTTTAAGAAAATGCCCTCCAGCTGGATCTTATGGAGACATTTTCTCAGTTGAGGTTCCCTCCTTTCAAACGACTCTAGCTTGTGTCGAGTTGACATAAAACAAGCCAGTGTACCCCTGAGCATGCAGAACTGGCAATCACTCACAGGTTCCCTAGGGCACAAGTAGGCCCTCTTTGGGAATGACTACCTTGATAACGAACATGGGGTTGTGGGCACCCAGGGGTCCTGGTGTGGGTGACATGGGCTGCTATGGGCAGCTCTTCAAGTTGTGTTTCCAAGCCAGTGAGGACCCCACCATATTCGCATGAACTACCCAGGCCTTTTCTGACCTCCCACCTTAGCCTGGAGGTGGGTCTTAAGCAGCGGGCTGGGGTGCAGAAGTGATTCTCCGGGCTCCAGGCTGGTAGCTTCCTGGGTAGTTGTGTTCACGTGAAGGCCACGATCCACCCCAAGCAAGTTCCAACGCGTATCTATTTTATTCCCTGGTGTCTGGGGAGGGTGGATGTGCAGCTCCTGGGATGACAAGTCACACTGTGACTCAGCCTGGAGCTGGTAAGTAGGATGTGACATCCACCAAGCATCCCACCTATCCCTACTCCAGACTCCAGGCTTCCTTCCCCAGGTGGGAGGAGAGGGGGAAAAACAAATACTCAGAAGCTGCCATGCTGGGCTCAGTGGGTTCCACAAGCCACTGTCACCAGGAGAGAAGGTCATAGTGCTCTTTGGTGGGGTGTCCTCACCATTCAGTTGTCTGAGTCCCATTCCCACCCGTCCCTTGCCATCCTTTCAGGGATGGGACCGGTCACACCTATCCCATAGGTCTCTGAGGGGGTCCATGCAGTCCAGCACTACAGCTGCAAACCAGCTTCCTGGAAACGTAGCCCTGAGAGAAGGATACAGTGAGCAGGTGTCTGGATCCTGGGAATGGCATTGGGAACGGGCACGGAGAAAGTACCAGGACCACCTCGTCCAACCCCAGTGCATTTTCGAGATCTGCTTTTGCTTACAGTCTTTAGGAAAAACCAGCCCTTTCCTACCAGTGCCAGACAGAGCCTGGAGGAAGGGCACAACACTGAACAAGTGGCCCTGTGTGGCCCAGGCATCCCCAAAGGAGATGACAGCTGAGAACATTTGATGACAGCACCCCAAGCCACTGGGCCAGTAAGTCTTTCTTGAGAAGGAAGATCTGATTGGCCCACGGCAGCGGTCAAGGTCACCCATGATGGTTTTGCCAAGGTGGGTGGTGTATGCACGTCTACTATCTACACCGCTGCTTCTGCCCAGTGCCCAGCTGGCCATGAATGACCCTGGTAAACTGTGGCCTGGCAAGCTTGACTCTGCTCACTCTCCCCAGCACCTACGGGGACGGTAAAAGCTGTGAGTTCACCCTGTACTGAAGGAGAGGCGTGGAGTGGCCTGCCCCTGCCTCACTGTGTCAGAAACACTCTGCAGGTCCCCTCCCACCCTCTAACGGCCACAGCTCCTTTAGTTTTGGCTCGGGGTGGGGTGGCCTCCAGTAGTCAGGTGCCATGCTGACTCCCTGGCCTGATGATTTGGCCACTGCAACCACGTGGGCTCATGCCGTCTCAGGGAAGCCCAGGACTCCGGACACTAAACCTGACCTCAACACTCACCCATGGAGTCCCGCCCAGTCTTAACCCCAACATGGCAAAAACCACCCTCTTGTAAACCTGTGGTTTTCAGCTGGGGGTGATTTTGTCCCCTTTTGTCCCTAAGGGACCTGTGGCAGTGTCTGGGGACCCTGGATTGTGGAGGTTTGAGTCCCGGCATCCGTGGAGAAAACAGGAGCATAATTAAACTTCCTACAACACTTGAGTATAGCAGGAATCTTAAAAGTTCTTATTAATAAGATCAAACCTGAGCCAGGTATTGGGGTGAACTGAAAGATCAGAGAACCAGAACAAGCCACAGCTACCTCACCTCGCCGGATCCTCAGCTGGTCTTGTTTCTTCAGACTGGAGGCCTGTGTGTCCTCATATCCAAATGGTTCTCAGCTGAACTGTGCTCCAAAGCCTAAAAGCTTAACCAGGCCAAATGCTTCTAGTTTCTGGTCTTCACAACTTATATATCTTTCTGCTTTCTGCCATCACTTCCTGGGATTAAAGGCTCACTTCTTGGGATTAAAGGCGTGAGTCACCATGCCTGGCCATTTCCAATGTGGCCTTGAACTCACAGAGATCCGGAGGGATTTCTACCTCTGGAATGCTAGGATTAAAGGTGTGAGTGCCACCATTTTCTGGCCTTTGTATCTAGTGGCTGTTTTGTCTCTGATCCCAGATAAGTTTATTAGGGTGTACAATATTCTGGGGAACACAATACCACCACACTTGAGGGTTCCCTCAGTGAGTCACTTGGTCCCTTAGGTCCCATAGTGTCAAGTCTCAGAAGCTGCCTCTTCAAAGTTCCCGTCTCGGGCCTGGGGAAGGGGAGGGCTTTGGGGGAGCCCCACCTTGTCATAGCACGTTATGTCATATTGTCACGAGCTCAACGGTGTGCACTCCCTTCGCAGCAAGGGGCCCATGCTGGTTGGGTTTTTGTCAACTTGACACAAGCAAGCGTCATCTGGGAAGAAGGAACCACAATTGAGAAAATGCCCCCATCACACTGGCCTGTAGACACGATATGCATGTGGCATTTTCTTGATTAGCAATTGATATGGGAGGGCCCCGCCCACCGTGGGTTGTACCATGGTAATGTCACCACCTAGGCAGGTGGTCCTGGGTGTATAGGAAAGCAGGTTGAGGAGGCCATGGGGATCACGCCAGTAAGCAATATGTTCCCCTATTGTCTCTGCTTCAGTGCCTGCCTCTGAGTCCCGCCCTGAGGTCCCTCAGTAAGGCATTGTGACCTGAGAACTGTCTGATGAAATAAGCCCTTTCCTCCCCAAGCGGCTTTCGGTCACGACGTTTATCAGAGCAACCGGAAGCAGACGAGGACAGACGCTGGATGCATGGCACCGGAAGTTGGAGGGATTCTTCAACTGTCCGCCCTGCGCAGAGGATAAAAGGGTCCCTGGACAGTCATAGCAGCACCTAGGAGAGTGGAGACCTGAGGAGCCAGAGGTAGGGCAAGCCTCCCAGGCTGGAGTGGGGAAGGCAGGGAAGCCGTGGGGTGGGGTGGGGGATTGAGGTTGGCAGCTGAGGGGACAGCTGACCCAAAGCTGCTGTGGGGAGGAGAAAATACGCCAGCCAACTTCCTTCTTCTCCTACCCAACAGCCGCCTGAGTGGACCCCCTTTCTGAGCTGGTCCCAAGTCAGACATTAGCCAGCCTGAGGGTCCAGCCATGGAGGAGGTTCTTGGGTCTCACATGAGTAACACAAATGCACAGTAGACAGCTGGAGGGGAGCAAACACACATGATTGCTCAGGTTATGTGACCACTGCTGTGGGTGACCGGCCCCTCCACAGTTGTGCCTGATACGTGTGCGTGTTTTCTAGGCTGGAAGCCCCATGACCTGATACTCCATCCCATACGATGATACATCTTGTGAGTGTCTCACCACATCGAGGCTGTCTTAAAACAGCCTGATGAATATATTCCCCGGAAGCTACAGTTCTCTCACAGTAAAAACAAAGTCGAGGAGATCACACACACACACACACACACACACACACACACACACACACACACACACAAGGTAACTGGCTGAGGGTCAAGTGTCCTTGGAGTGAAGCCAGTTCTCTTTCATGCCATTACCTAGGGGGTAATGGCATTTTCGTGGCATCCCAGAGGGCCGGGAGCTCTTCAGTCTTGGTCACAGATGTGTCAGTCACATCTACAGTTCACACAAGGCAGCGCCTTCTGCCCACAGGCTGGTTACACGGACCGGGCTAGGGTCTCCTGACAGCTGTTTAGAGGATGAGTTTTAAAGTCGGCACTAAGACACTATAGGGAGTCTCCGCGGTGACCTGGCCAGGCCAAGAGTGACTTCCTTTCTGCCCAACTTAGCAAGAGACAGGGCATTTCCTGTCCAGCTCAAAGACAGGAGGTACCTAGCCGATCCCTGACATGGACCTGCCAGCAGACAGTCTGTCCTACCCAGGCAGTCATGGCTTGAGGTTCTAGTTTAAAGTGCCATGCACCGCAAGGGCCTGCCAGCACATCTCCACGGAACAGGGGCGGGGTGTAAGGAGGAAGTCACCTTTCCAGGAAGGGAACCCAAGTTATCTTGTAGGCAGATTGGTGGCATGTCATGGTTTTCCACATGCTGCGGGCTGGATGGACTTCTTCATGTGGGATTTCTAGACCCCATCTTGAAAGGTTTGGGAGACTCCAAAACCCTGAGCTTGGGAAGGAAGCTGTGCTGGGAGACCCCTAAAATCAGCCCCAAACCCTGCTGGCTGCCCTTCCTCGTCATAAAATTCTACACCCATTTTATCCACAGTCAAGACTCTTTAGAGTGAGTCGTCAGTACTGTAGCAACTTGGGGAAGAAACGCAGTCTTGCATGGCAGACAGGGATCACACATCAGATTAGTTCTTTTATACGGATCCTTCTAAGTGGGGTCGACATGAGCAATTTTCCAGCATAGAAAACCAGATGGGCTGCTCCAGAACTATACAGCAGGATGATATGTACCAACTTCAGCACACCACACCCAGGCCAGTGACTGGTGATATGGAGAGACTGTGGAACACCATGCCCAGGGCCAGTGATTGGTGATACGGAGTGACTGTGGTATACCTCACCCACAGCCAGTGGTTCGTCATATGGAGTAACTGTAACACCTCACCCCGGGCTGGTGATTTGGGATACGGACTCTGTTGCATGAATTATAAATGGTCTTACAATAAAAACCCAGAGCCAGATATTGGGGTAAATGCTGAAAGATCAGAGAGACAAAGGAACAAGCCACTAGAGAAACTTCTCACCTCTACCGAATCCTCAGGCTGAATGGAAGACGAGATCTTATCTCCAAGAATCTTCTGACTGAAAGCCTCTGAACCCTCAGCTGAGAAGCTTCCTCAGTCAAAAAAGCCCTAGTTCCTGTCTCCTCATGCCTTATATACCTTTCTCCGCCCAGCCATCCATCACTTCCTTCCTAGTGCTGGGATTAATGGTGTGTGTACTTCCCAAATACTGGTAGCAAAGGCATGAGATCTCAAGTGCTGGGATTAAAGGCATGTGACTCCCAAGTACTAAGATTAAAGGTGTGTGCCACCACTTCCTGGCTCTGTTTCTCTCCTAGGCTGAATCAATCTCATGTAGTCCAGTGTGACTTTGAACTCACAGAGATCCAGACAGATCTCTGCCTCCAGAGTGCTAGGATTAAAGGTGTGTGCCACCACTGCCTGGTCTCTATGTTTAATCTAGTGGCTGGCTCTGTTCTCCGATCCTCAGGCAAGCTTCATTTGATACACAATATATCACCACAGGACTCACTGTGACATACCACACTCGGGCTGGTGACTGGTGGTATGGACTCACTGTGATCCCACACCCAGGGCCAACGAACAGAGACTTTGAGCAACATAACATCTCCCGTGGGAGACTTCCTCAACTGCTCCTGAGGAGATGTCACCCCGAGGGCTCTATTCAGCACTGCAAACTCTCACTATCGCAGTGAGTATGAAAAGAGACAAAGCAAATGCTCGTGTTCTATGAAGTGTCCAGGTAGTTCACTGGCTTCATTTTGTATAGCTGTGCATAGCAGGAAGCCGATGAACGTCTTTGAAGGTCTGTCATACTTAGCCAAGAATGCAGTCAATATGCAGCTCTGAAGAGGAAGGGACTTCTCCCAGGGTCAGCTCTTCATCCCATACCACCCAGAGAATACACAGCTCCCTCGAAGGTCATTCCTAGGTGCCCGTGTTGGCCTGTATGACCCTGTTTTCTGAAATGCTTTGAATAGAAAGGGAGAAGAAAGCCCAGGCAAATCAGCTTCTCCCCAAAGTAGTTTTAAACCACAACTTGCCGTGTGTAAAAGAGTGGGGAAGAGGTCTGTGCTGGTGTGACTGCTGTACACGGAGGCCACTAAGACTGAAGAGGGAGGGCACAGAGCAAGAAGGCTGAAATGTGCTGGGTACCCTGGCTCCCGGGAGGCCATGCTGGCAAGATAAGAAATCTATTTGCCCAGCTGACAGGGTGGACAAGGCTGGCTTTAAAACCAGATCAGCATCTTGAGGGAGCGACGGGAGGTCATTTTTTGAAATGTTTGGTTTCAGTCTGGGACCCGGCACTCTCAATGCCTTTGGAGGAGGTGTAGGAGATCAATCTCCGGCAAGCCACCGTGATGCATTATAAAACCCACGTGCATGTCTCGCTTGAGGACAACCCAAGCCACAGAAATGAGACATCAGCCTCACGCTGCTGCTTGTAGGAGCTCGGTTTTATTGTTTCAACAACACGAAGGCTGCCGTCTCTTTAAATAACAAACTATACAGATCACAAAGAGCAGAAATACAGATGGTTTCCATGGGAACACACATACGGATTCAATAAATAATATAAAATGCTTTTGTGCTAAAATAGAACTCTTGTCTCAATAGTTACAGGTCCATCCATCTCTGTTACCCAGAAAAAAAAGCCAGGTCTGCTATTACTTAGAACATAGAAAAATATAATTTAATAAAAGAACTAAAAAAAAAAAAAAAAGGCCAGTGTTGAGTTTATAATCCACGTGCAATACATACAACCAATGGGCAGGTAAATAACCAAACAAACAAACAAACAAAAAATCACAGTTGACGATTGGAATGACTGCTCCACCCCCACCCTACCATCAAAGACATTTTACCTCCAGGACAAAATAAAAAGAGGAGGAGGCATAGGTATTGGTTTCCAGACGGGACTCTGGTGCTGGGGAGCTCAGGGGTTTGAGTTAACTGTGAGAAAGTCTTCGTTCTTTGTGAACGATGCACACTTTGAACCCACTCTCTGGAGCTCTCTGTTTTTAATAAAGGCCATTTGAAATGTGTGGGTTCCGCACATCTCAGGAACACAGCACCTCCCCGTGGCTGGTAGGAGTGGTCGCACCTGTTGTGTGTCATAAAAGCAACAACTCTTAGTCTGTTAGTTACTTATTTCTAAGGCAGGGTTTCACGACATGGCCCAGGCTTGCCATCCCCCTGTCTCAGCGTCCTGATTACTGAGACTGCAGGATATGAGATGCCGTGCCCTATTCTCCCATATTCTTTAGGCAAACAAAAGCAAATCAACAGAGAAAACTCCATCATGACCAAGGAGACAAAGCTTACAGCTCAGCTTTCTCTACTCCATAGCAACAACAAATGAAAAGGAGGCTTGGATAAAGCAATCCCATTAACACAAGTGGAAGCAATTAAAACTTTCAAGTAACCTCACTCAGGAAAAGGAAAGTTGTTTTTTTTTTTTTTATTTTTGAAAATTTAAGTTATAAAAGTTCAAAGAGGAAATGGAGTTAAATGTGCAGAAAGGTGTCATTCTGGGGTTCCCTAGCGGTCAGCTGGATACCTGCCCCCAACCCAGCAGCACAGTCAGTAACAGTGGCCAGGACACTGTCTCTCTCCACCTGGTCTACAAAGCTCACAATGTCAGGTGACAGATTCAGTGGCCAGGGATGTACCTTCCTGGGAACGTCCAGTGAGGAACACAGGGTGCCGTCATGAGGGGAGCCACTCAGCCTCGGAAGCAAAGCAAGCAGGCCTCGCAGTAGTAACTTTGGAACTCCGAGGGGGGCCTCCCACCAGCTTCCATCATTCTTTCCTTGGTGCTCTGTCAGGAGGATGTGGTGGCTTCCATCGGCCAACCCGGCAAACCTTCTCCACCTGCCCTGGCCCTACCACATAATTCTCCATGACATCCACTGGACAGTCGGGAATCTGAAATGGCCCAGTCCCTGCCCTGGGGAGCTCTGACCCTCCGCCACACTGTCCACTGGTGAATGATCATGGCTCACGGGGCCTCGGAACAGCTGCTTCTAACAGGCACGTGGTCAAGACCGAGGGGTCACTCGCGCTAAGCCGTATTAACTGGCTCACAGTTGGCTGCCCACCCTCCGCCCACGCGGGGGGATTAGACCCAGAACTGTAGACATGTGAGGCAAGAGCTTGGCCCCACAGCTACTGCCACAGTCCTTGGTGTTCTGAAGGCAAGGCCTTGCTATGTAGCCCAGGCTAGCCCCAAACTCATAAGCCTCCTGCCTCTGCCAGATGAGGCTGGGCTCGTGAGCCTGCTGCATTAAATCTGTCCGATAATGTCTTCCTCGAAAGGATGTCATCTCTTCCCCAGCAGGCCGCCATCCACACTTCACTGCTGGTTTTACAGTTCGTGACGTCAGCCAGGGGCTCCGCCCGTGTGCAGGCCTCTGTATCAGCAGTGAGACAGGTCCCCCGCAAACCACTACAGTGAGACAATTTCTACAGGCTTTGCTGAAAGAAATCACACTTAACCACAGCCTGGAGGCAGGAGCGGGGAGTCCCAAGGACAAGAGGGTATTTTAGGTTAAAAAATAAATAAACTGGGGTTTGCCAAAGGTTTTAATTTAGCGTGCGTCACACAACTGCCTTAAAATGATCTACTATTCTTGTTTTATGAAGCCAAGGCTTCTTAGTACGTAACTGCATTAAAAACAGCAACACCTGGAACATCTTCGATCACGTTAAGTACTCTTCCCCAAAACTGGAATAAGGAGGAACACGTGGGCTCTTTCCGTTAATGGTACCAGAAGCATCTGGCATCTAGGGACCCACCGATATGACAGGATCTCTCAAACGGCCATGCATTGCAAACTCAGCTGGGTTCTCCTTCCACCCTGGGGGACCCAGGACACACCTCACCACGTGCTTGGGTAAAAAGACAGCCTCTGATGACCCATCACCTGCCCATGTGAATCTTGAGGACTGCGGCAAGGGCCATCTGCCCTCCCTCTCAACTGTGTCCTCATGAGGGAAACAGGGTTGATGGGATAAAATGGTTTACTTAGAGTAAGTCTGAGGCAGGGAGATTCTTAGGAAACGCCCCCCAACACACACACAACTCCTTTCTAAAAGGGAAGGAACCTTAAAATGGCCTCAGTTAAAATGGTAACACATGATGTCTGTGAGAGTCTGGCTCAATGTTCTGCAGGTACAGGCAGGACTCATGATCCTGTGTCATCTTAAAAAACCCTTTGGTGAAGGTATAACCCCAATACAAGATTTAGTCGGGCTAGCCCAACGCCTGCTGGGGTCAAGCCTCCCTCCCGATTGGCGGAGGGTCCTGTATATTCCCTGAAGAGGCCGGAGATGCAGCCCTCACCCCTGCAGGTCTGATTGAGCTTGTGTGAGCTGCCCATTCCAGCCATGCCCACACGGTAACATCAATACTTAACTACGTGTGCAATGAATCGGAATGCCATGCTCTTTAAGCAAACAGGGTGCCCGTGCCAGGTTGTAGCCGTGTCTCCACACTGGAGGCAGCGAACCGTGGCACATGTGTGTGAACTCAAAACCCCGAATGGGCAGTGAGAGGGCACCAAGCCCCACAGCTCCCCCACCCAGGTAAATTACCTGCACAGTAACAGGTAAATTACCTTCCAAACCCTCAAAAGGTAACTGCGATTTAAAAAATAAATAAATAATAAATAAACACCTTATTTTCCCCAGCACATACACACAAGGATACACATACCGGGAACTGTTAGAAAGATCCAGGACAGAATGCAAAGAATTTCAATGCCAGGTTTCTTTATGCGCTCAGCAGTTTATCTAGAAACTCTGTAACACAGCCCCCAGGAACGGGACAAGACCGCAGAGACTTTCGAGGACGTCTGTTTCAGTGTGGTGACATGGGGACCCAGCGTTGACTCAGGGCAGCAGTAGAAGAAGTAACCTTTAGGGAAAGGGTACTGCCGCCCCCGTCAGAATAACCCAGTGCACAGCACATTAATGGCAGAAGGATGTGGGGCATGCCAGGGTGCACAGGAGACCGCTGGACACTGTCACCCATCAGCGTGAGTTCATTATAAATTATACTGAAGGGAGAGGCAGCAACTCCTTTCTGCCTTGGGCACATCCTTGGCTATGCTTCCCAGGCCAGGCGGAGGGAGCAGGACTCTGTCGTAGACCCGCCCATCCTGGAGACCCCAAGCTCGTGCACGGACTGCCTGGTGGGTTACCTACATCCTGGCTTGACTTGAAGTCCTGGGGCATCTCCTCCGGTCAGGCTGACCAGAAGTAGCCATGATGGATGCCATGGTAATTCCACAAGGGGACATTCCTACCTCTGCTCTCGGACTGGCATCCCTAGAGCAGAGCCATCGGAGGAAGGCGGTGCATGTGGTGTTCCGTGTTACCTCATCACCTAGGGACAGCCAGGAGGCTATCCCTGACCTACAGAGACCCGAGGCTACTGTGCCTTCTCCTCCAGGATTTGGAGCCACAAGCCCCAAACTTTGGGCAGGCACTCGGATACTTCAGTGCCTAGGACAGGCTACCCGCAGCCCCAGACACTGTGGTCCCACCCTGGGTACGCTCGATGCCAGCTGCAGCGGTAAGGGCCATTTCACGTTCTGAGGCCATGGATACCAAGGTAAGTGGGTGCACGGAAAAATGCCTTCTGCCTCTTCAGTAATTTCGAGTGCAGACAGGCCAGCCCAGAGGATGTCCCAACTCCTGCAGGGCCATCTCATTGTCGTGGGCATCCCCAGGCTGGAGCAGCCCTGTGCTCAGAACCGCTGTGTCTTAGCCCCACACGGCTCCCCGTGGCTCCATATCCACTCCTGGGCTGAAGAGCCGAGGCCCCTACTGCAGGCCCTGTTGCTCCGTGCTTCAGAGGCCGCTGCTATTTCTGTGGCACAGTGGTGGCTTGGAGAACTCCAGGATGGTGGTGCGAGGTTTGTTGAGGAACTTGGGGGCGCGGCGTAGCAGCCTCTGGGCCTCCGTGAAGGTGCAGGTCAGCTCCTTCAGCCACTGTGCAAACTCGGGGTCACTCTGCACAGAGACACAGGCAGGAATTGGGACCTGTCTACACATCTGCCCACAGTATCTACAAATGACAAAGGTCAGTGGAGCCTGACAGAGGACACATCCTGCCTGCCTACTCTGAAACCTTGCTTCAACCTTCAGGTCCCCTGGAACCTGGTGAGAAACTCCAGACAGAGGGAAAGGCAGTTCTGGGCTCTTCCAGTGGATCTCCTGAACCCTGTCAACCACCTTAATCTAGTTGGGGATTTTCTCTGGTCCTAAAACCACAGTCTATAGAATAATAAATGGGGGGGGGGGGAGTTCTGATGCTGTAAAACATCCTCTCACATGTCTAAGCTAGTTTTGAAGTTCCGGTGTCCACCTGTAATCTCAGCACTGGGGGAGCTGAGTCAGGAGAGTCCCGACTTCCCGGCCAGCCTGGACTACATAGCAAGACCCTGTCTCAATGATAAGCTAAAGGGTATCCTGATTCTCCTGGTTTCTCTCCCCTCGTCCTGTGAAAACACACACACCTCGGTACACCAAGGGAAAGTGTTCCATGATGAAACTTGAGCTACAGTACAACTCAGAGAGAAACAAAGACCGTCCCCCACCCCACCCCCAGCCCCCGCCCAGGAAAAGTCCTTTTGGAATCTCAGAGATAAGAAAAAACAGATAGCTGGAAGATCGGACTCCAGCCCCCATTGGCCCCCAGGCAGTCTCCAGACTAAACTATCACTTCGCTGCACTCTATCCTCTGCTAACGTGGGGCTTGACCTAAACCTCACACTTGCTAAGTGCGTGGGAGGCAAGGAGAAGCCTGGGGACCTGGTGAGAGCCCTGGTAGAACTGGCCCATCCCTGTCTGCTTTTATTCCAGAGAATGTCAATAAAACTCACCTCGCACTGCAGGACAAACTGCTTCCCTCCTTTTATTCTGAATAAAATGCATTTTCTGTCTTTAATCTGGGTCTCCTCCACAGACAGGATCTGATCCATGGTCAGTAAATTTTGCTAAAATACAAACGGAAAGGTTAACAATGACTTTGCTACTTTGTGATCTCTTAGGGTAAAGAGCCCATTTTCAAAAGCAAATGACTTTTTTTGTTTCTTTCTTGGCTGATGTTCTAGAAATAAGGAGAATGGCTACAAAGGACACAAAAAGAAGATCAAAGTCAAAATGTTAGTCTGGGCAGCTGTGGACGTGCAGGACCACACCACAGGAACGTCTGCTGCCCCCTAGTCAGCAGGAGAACAGTGGATGACAGACAGCTAAGGCATGGATGGGCCAAGACACTAGATCCGTATCAAAAAGACCTAAATACAGGTGGCATTCTTACAGGGTCGGCAGATCTAGTGTGAAGGCTCGGCAGGAGGTCACAGCATGGTTATACGGGGGTGGTGTTTGTTTGTTTATATTTCAGATAAATTCTACAGAAATCTGGAGTGAAAAAAACATCCTGAGAAACTCCCACGCTCCCTGTCCCTCTGTTCACTCTTTACGGATCTGTCTCGGGGACTGCCTCGCTCCACACAAAATGCTGAATGTCAAAAGAAAAACAATGATAAAAGATACATTGTTGCAACTGCAACAGTTTGCTCTGGCCTAACCCAACGAGGCTCATGAGAATTGCCTGCCCAGGCCCCAGAGAGACGCTTCAATACCTGCCAGCCCGGAACGGCCCGGAACCCACAGAACACCTGTTTAGTGGGTCCAATCTTAGAGGTTTTAATTTCAAAGAGCCTTGGTGGCACAGCACTAAAGCCTACAGCCACCACTCAGCATTGCCACAGAGTTCACCGGCAGTTACCAAAAAACCATGATTCAAAGTCAAGACAGAAGAGCCCTGGGAGGCTGCTGATCCTCATTCCTGCCTCCCAATACACAAACTATGTCCTGACCCCAGGGCCCGTGGCCACACTCACAGTGATGACCCCTGCCCCGCCTCACTGCCGACCATACACCGTCCACCCAGATGGGCTCTTCCCTGGGCCTCTCACACGGAGGGTGTTTAAGGGAAGCAGCCCGCCTTGTCCCTTCGCTAACCTTAGCTGGAGAAAGGGTCTGAGTGGTTGTGATTGTGAGACACACCTACAGATTCCCAGCAGAGTGCAGACAGCCGGGGTTGGTGTGCTAGCCACCCTAAGCAAATCCCACGGGAGACATTTCACCTGATCTGACTTGGGGAAGAGACCAAGGGAGCACAGACATACCTCGGTCAACGGCCCTCCCCACCCACAACGGGCTGGTTATGCTCTTGCTGCCCTGGATTCCTCTCTGTAACTCCAGGGTTGGACCCTGGAAGCTGCTAAACCTTTGAGTTTGTTTACAATGTCTGGCCTCAGGTTAGCGTGCCATAGTCACGGGAGCTGAGGCTTTCTGTACCTCCCACTTCACAGATGAGCAAACTGAGGCCCAGAGAGGCACCTTGGGCTGTCCTGAGTCCTGAGAGCGATGAGTTAGGATCCCCCTCTCCTGCTTCGCTCTCCTCCCATCCCACCCATTCTCCTCTCCAGCCTCCATGGACCCCCTGAGGCTGCCGGGACTTGGGACTCCATCTTTCAAGTGACACCTGCGTCTTATTCCAGGAAGGGACTTGACACGGACGCTTAAAAGTCAGGCCACAGCAACCCTTGTTTCTGTGACACAAGAGGCACAGGATATGAGGCAGCGCAGCGTGAAGGAGCTGCTGCACAGACTCACCCGAGACTCGCCTTCTCCTCTCCACTCTAGTCTGTTGGGGAACAGGTAAAAGTAGCGCCTCTGCCATTGCGTGAGAAAGGGGTTCCCCAGCTTCAGCATGAACCCATGCAAGATGCAGTCCTTCCCCAGGGCATAATCTGAGGGTGGAGACACAGTGTCACTCAGGTCCTGGGCCAACACAACTAAACACCGTTATCCCAGTTTTTGAACCCAGGGGACTGGGACATGGGAGCTCAGAGGGTCCCAGGCTCTGTGTTCAATCCTTGCTTCTTGGTATTTGAACCTGCAGAGCCTACCGGCACCTCTGATTGGGCAAAATTTTATTCACAAACTACTAAGTAAGAGACTGGTTAATCATGAATTCTCTCCAAAGTCCCACTGCCACTGGAGGGAACTGTCCACTAATCCACTTCCACCCTGTGAATCACTCTGAAGCCGGCCTCTTCCCCTCCAAGGTGGCGGGCAGTCACGTCACGGCGGGCTCTTCCTCAGCTCACCGCCCACAAAGAGAGCGGAGTGCAAGGACTCATACTCACACTGACGGAGTCTCTAAGGTGGTGACGTTCCACAACACTCATGAAAGGCTTTGGAGGTTGTGATAAAATCACACCCACTCTCCATCAATCTACTTACGATGCCACGGGGGCTAGGCACGGGGCGGCAGAGGGAGGAGGGGATGTCTGTGTTTGGTGGGTCCAGTGAGGAACAACAATAAAAAAGAGAAAAGTCTGCCTGCCCTTGGGAATGTAAAATCTGGAGAAGGTCAGACCAGCCTGGAAAGGGTGAGACCCACATGTCCCCTATGATGGAGAAAAAGCAAAGGACAGTGGAGGGGGGCAGGGGTGGGGCCCTCTGATGTGGGCTTGCATTCCTGGGCAGAGTTAAAACACATTTGTTACTGCTTTTGTCCCAGACACGGGCATGTGCATGGTACATTTCTGTCACGGAGACATCTGGAAGCTCCCTGGGCCTGCTCCTGACTCTGTAATGCTCCATCTCCAAGGACTGAATTTTCAAGGCTGCCCCCACCCCAAAGTTCCAGGGACAGGGAAACCTCAGAACTCGGATGGCACTGCCCGCCTCTATGTGCACGTCCATCTACCTGGTGACCGGAGGCTCCCAGAGACTCCACCCAGCCCTTCCGATCCACATGAAACCCAAGTCTAGCATGCTCTTTCCTAGGCTGGGAAGCACTTGATGATACCGAGCACCGAGCCACATGGCCTTTTACCTTCCTCCTGACCAAGCTGCTTATTTTTAGCCCTCTTCCTGGCCTCGATTTTATCCGTATCAGCATTGACGGCGTCGTAGATGGTCTCCACCACTTCCTGCTGCCAGCGTTCAGAGATCACCAGTGGGAAGTTCTTATAGAGGTCCTGGTCGCAGTCCAGCAGCTGGGTGTGTAAGGACAGAAGGGGCACACGCTCTAATGCCTTCCCAGATGCAAAGCAGCCAGCACCATGACCACATTCAGGAGAAGAGCCACGCGGTAGCGTCCCACGCTCATAGGGTCTTTAATATCCACCTTAGAGGCTCTGTCAGTATAAGTCTGAGTCCTTTCACACGGCCACACCAGGGATCACCTCGGCCCCAGGCCAGGCAGCCTGGGCCTGGTCTTCAGTAACACTAGGGTATTTTTACCAATGACAATGAGCATGTGTTGACTTTTTAAAATTTTGTTTGTGTGTATGAGTATGTGCTGTATGTGTTCCTGTGTGTGCACATGTGTGTGGCGCTGCATGTGTGTAGATGAGTGTGTGTGTGTGTGTGTGTGTGTGTGTGTGTGTGTGTGTGTGTGTAGGCCAGAGGCTGGTATTAGTGTCTTTCTCTATCACATCATATTTATATATTTATATGTGGGAGACAGTCTCTCTCTGAACCTGGAGCTTACTGACGGACAAGACCAGGCTTCCTCTTGTCTCTGGCTCCCCTTCGCTTCCCGGTGCTGGGTTACGAACATGCACCACCAGTGCCTAATTTTTACTCACGAGCTAGGGCTCTGAACTCAGGCGCTCGTGTACAGCAAACACTCAACTGTGTGTCTCCCCAACCCCACATACTGGGCTTTATTTTAGGAATAGTAAGAGACTCTGACAGTCAAGTGAGTTTCAGCTGTGGGTGCCGTATTTATAGAAATGGGGACAAGGGTCTGCATAGTGTCTAAAACCTGATAAGAGAGAAAAGCCAGGCTAGCTGACCAACCCCCCAAAAAACGATCTGCAAGAGTGGGAAAGCTAGGCAGGGTGGTGGTGGCACACGCCTTTAATCCCAGCACTCGGGAGGCAGAGCCAGGCAGATCTCTGTGAGTTCGAGGCCAGCCTGGTCTGCAGAGCAAGTTCCAGGACAGCCAGGGCTACACACACAAACCCTGTCTTGAAAAACAAAGAGTGGGGAAGGTCGCTGCAGGCTGGCTCACCGGCATCTCACAAACTCCCGACTCATCCACCACCGTGAACGGACTGGTGTTTAAATGTGAATGGCAAGGGGTGCAGACACCCCCGCCTCTGCCGAGAGCTGCAGTAGCAGGGTGCACACTTCACAACAGCATTTTTCTTTTACTTGAATGTCTTTGCCCCACCCTCTAGGGCAGGCTGCCCCAGGAACCCAGGAGCGGTGGTGATTTTGCCACAGTGATTCAGACCCAGGTAGTGGGAGGTGCATCCCTCTTGTCCAGGAGCCGCTGCCTCTGCCCAATTGCCCCTGCCCACCGCTGTCTCTACCTCACAGCTGCCTCCCCTCCCTGCCTCATCTACCCCCGCCTCTGCCCTCACTCCCACTGAGTGTCCCCGTGACAGTTCCTGCCGGACTCTGCCACAGAACCTGCCCTGCTCTCTCCAGGCAGCGGGGGTGGGTCTGACATGCAGAACCATGGCCTGCTGCTGCTGCTGCGGGGGAAGCATGCAGGTGAGAAGGTGAGCAGCTGCATTTGCAGAGATAAACTCAAGCAGCAGAGAAAAGCCAGGGCTGGGACAAGCCACCAGAGTCAGGGCCGGATGACTGGGGCTGGCAGGCAGGCGGTGGCCTGCTGACTTAGCGTTTTAAAGACAGTAATTTTCCCCATGACTCACTCACTCCCTGTGAGCATGTCTCATCTCCACTTGGAAAAAAACAGAGTCACGCACCAAAGTCTGAGAAATGCAGAGGACGCTAAGACCGCGATCAATGCACCCTTGATGGATAAGTGCAAAGAGATCCGTGCCGTCTGCTCCCTTCTGACACAAGCAGACCCTAGACCAGCAGTTCTCAACCTTCCCAAGGCTGGGACCCTTTCATACAGTTCCTCACGCTGTGGTGACCCCCCCAACCACAATATTATTTTCATTACTACTTCATAGCCGTAATTTTGCTACTGTTATAAATCATAATGCAAATCTCTGATATGCAGATGGTCTTAAGGGACCCCTGCGAAAGGGTCATTTGACTCCCAAAAGGGGTTGTGACCCACAGGTTGAGAACCACAGCCCTAGACTTAGAAGCATGAAAACCATGGATTCTTCCGCTCTGAGTGGAACGTGTTTGAATTGGTTGTTACTCCTGCCTCAGATCCAAGTTGGAGTTCAACAGCAAATGCCTCACGTCATAACAATGTGAGCACCCTGCCACTCATCAAAGTGAAATGATCGGGGTGGGTGGGAGGGTGGGGGTGGGAGCTTCAGCTGCTACTGCTGCTGCATGTAGGTGCTTAATACTAAAACTATCACCAAGTATAATGGATTCTCCTCTCCTCAAGTCAGGAAGGGTGGGGTGGCCTGTCACCCCAGCATTGGGGAGGCTGAGGAGGACCGTGGGTTCCAGGCCTGCTGGGCTGAAGAGTGAGTACAGGGGCTGGGGGTGTAGCTCAGTGGTAGCGTGTTTCTCTAGCTTGTGCAAGGGCTCCAGTAGATTCCCTACCCCCCTCCACACACAGTGAATCTTAGCAGAAGCCCCACCCCCGGAAGGGGGCATACCTTAATGCCTTTGGTGTCCTCTTCATCAAATGAGCCGATATCAAAGGCGTCGGCAGCGTTGACCTCTCCCCGAGGAGGGATTAGCGGTGGCGGGTACTAGAAGATCCAACAAGTAGGTAGGGCCCAGTTATCAGCTGCCCTGTATGCCCCCAGCCCAAGATAACCGTCTATAAAAAGAACACAGCCCGGCCTTCAGAAAGTGCGTGTCCAGAGAGCACAGCCCACCCCGAGCCTCACACTGCAAACCCTGATTGGTGCTGGCTGCCTGGGTGACCTGAGCATGGCAGGGTGGGCAGGCAAATCCCCCCTCCCTATGGAAACTGCTACCACTCTGCAGCTGGGCTTCACTCAGAAATGCATTATTAAAAATTCAACCAGGGTGTTTCCTGTTCCAAAGAGAATACAACCAAGCTTAAAATGAGGGGAAGGGGTAGGGTGCAGCTCCATGGGAAAGGATGGACTTAGTGGGAAAGAGGCCTGGTCCAGCTCTAGCACAAAACAAAACAAACAAAACAAAAAAGTTTAAAAAAAAAATTAAAAATCAGGAAAGGGCAGTATGGGGCTAGGAAACATCTCCGTTCAAGTCAGACGCTCCTTGCGTATTGAAGTCCGACTCCACACACATCTCAATTAGTCAGATAACTGCTGTAGGTGCCTTCTGTTCATTTGCTGAGATGCCATCTCCAAAATCTTTATACAGTCGCCCCTCAGCACCTGCAGAGGACCTTTCCAGGCCACCGCTTGGCTAGAGGACCCACCGAGGAGCAGGTCCCTCATACAGAACAGACAGCAAGGGTTTGCAGAGAACCTACCGACATCCTCTGCAGACTTTAATCTCTAGGTGACAGCGTAAATGCTCTGCAGACGGCGGACACTATGAGTCCACATGTGCTTGGGACACTAGTGCTTTGTTTTTGTTTTTTGTTTTTCCTGAATATTTTCCATCCGTGGTTGGCTGAACCACAGAGGCAAAACTCAGGTACATCTGGCCTGTGTGAGGAAAATGAGGAAGAAGATCCTCCCCAACGGGAATCCCCTGAATGGCGACAAGTCCAGGCAGAACATTCAGACATGGTGGGCTGGGGTGGGGACCCTGGAGGGACAGAATCAGGAAGCCAGTAGCAGAGAGACAGACAGAGAGAGCTCAGGGGGCCCAGCGGGTTACCTTCCGTAAGTACACATGCTGCCAGTCAATGCCCTTGAAGAAGATGTGCTCCTTCACCTCTTGCGCCCTGAGGAAGAGGAGAGAGTCCTGCAGAGGTCAGATGGGAAATGTGACAGGTGCCATGCTAAACTGTCTCCCAGTACGTTCCAGCTCCTCAAGAAAGCAATCGCAGGCTGGAGGATGGCTCAGGCAAGAAAGGGCTTGCTGTGTGAATACGAGAACCTGAGTTTGGGTCCCTGGTTCCCATGTAAATGCCGGACTGGCATGGTAGCAAGAGGCAGAGACAGGGGACACCCTGGGCATGCAGTTAGCTAGACTTGCCCAATCAGGAAGCTCTGGGGAGGGACCTGCCTCAGTATCTGAGGTCGAGAGCCATCAAGGAAGACACCCATCACTTTTGGGTCCACACATACTCCACACTCTAGTGCACACACATACACGTGCATACACAGACACATGTGCACAAGCATGCGTGCGTGCGTGCGCGCGCGCACACACACACACACATACACACACACACTTGCATGCACGCACGTGTTAGAAAAAAAGCAAGACGTTACTTTTGGAGAGGACAGAAAATGCTGTAGCAGGGACTAGAGGCATCAACACTGGACCTGGGAAGATGTCCCCTTTGCCCAGACAGACGCTGCCGCTTAAGACAGCCTGGCAGTTCCCACAGACACACCCATGTGCAGCCAGCAACAGGACAACACAGTGCGAAGCTCTGACACCGGAAAGCCACCTCCGTCCAGCTGAGGCATCGGCCAGTTTGAGGGGGCAGTGTGCACCCCTCAGCCCCTCTCTAAGGTGCTCCTTGGGAGCATAATAATGCAGCTAAAAGACGGGACCCAGGAAAGCGGAGGGCTCGGGGCAGGTAAATAACGACCCAGGAAATTCAGGTGCCAAGGGGATAGATAGAGAAAGGGAGAAACAGAGGCCACAGCCGGTACTCTCGGGACTTGGTAGGAAAAATGAAAACCGGTAGTATCTCCCCTCCCCCCTCTCCCTCCCCCCTCTCCCTCCCCTCCTCTTACGAGCTCCAGTTTGAACACTGTTTTCCCAGATGGCAAGACTATGTCGGAAGGCCGGAGTCTTTAACCAATACGGCTTGGCTCTAAGAAGGGATTCACTCTGAAGAAAACCCTCCAGTTCCCCCTCTATACACACACACACACACACACACACACACACACACACACACGTCCTCACTGAGAGCTGGCACGCTCTGCTTTGGCTTCCAGCGAGGACAGGCTGACTGACCCCTCCGATGCCAGGAGCAGAAGCAGACAGCTCCTTCCCCGGCATTTCTGTCTGGCAGCAGTATGGGTAACCAATGCCCTGTGGGACCCCCGCCCCATGTGACTGACCCCGCCCCGTGTGACCAACTCCGCCCTGTGTGACCCCGCCCCGTGTGACTGACTCCGCCCCGTGTGACCAACTCCGCCCTGTGTGACCCCGCCCCGTGTGACTGACCCCCGCCCCGTGTGACCAACTCCGCCCTGTGTGACCCCGCCCCGTGTGACTGACTCAGCCCCGTGTGGCTCACCCCCGCCCCATGGGACTGACTCCGCCCTTGTGACTCCACCCCATGGGACTGACTTCGCCCCACATGACCCTGCCTCGTGGGACTGACTCCACCCTGTGTGACTGACTCTGCCCCTGTGACTCCACCCCGTGGGACTGACTGGGCCCCATGTGACCCTGCCCCCGTGGGACTGACTCCGCCCCCTGTGACTCCGCCCCGTGGGACTGACCATGCCCCGTGGGACTGACTCCGCCCCTGTGACTCCGCCCCCTGTGACCCCGCCCCGTGGGACCCCGCCCCAGTGGATGCCGAGGGCTCCCAGGGACTGGATCCGTGAGACCAGCCTTTTCTTTGGAGTGGAGACACGCAAGACGGCCTACCCGCCTCCGCCGCAGCCCAGCCGCCGGCTCACGTCCCGCTGGAGCAAACCCTCCAAGAGGGACCTCAGCTCCGGGGAGAAGGCGTCCGGAAGCTGCACGTTCTGGGAAGAGAAGAGGCGGATTTCAAAGGCCCATCCCAAGAGGGTGGCCTCGCCCCCGAGCAGAGGCCGAGGCTGCTCCTTGGGGCAGAGAAGATCGAAAACTGAATTCGTAACAGGTTGACATTAACCCTACACCGGTGACTGACTGGTTTCGGAATCCTGCAGCAGGCTGGCAGGTCCGAAGAGCTAGCGGCCCTCACCTCTTCTACAGGAGATCATCTGTCCACGTCTCTGATGGCCGTGTCTGCTCCCCACTGGCCACATCCCTCTTATTCTGTTCATTTGCAAACCTCGTCATTTGCCCTGGAGTCCGCTTCCACTCATCTTTTTTTCCTTTCAAAATTTCCCCTAGGAATGGTTTTATCTTCATGTATTTATTTCAACTATGCACATTTCATGATATATATATGTATAATATTTTATATATGTTATATATAATATTTTGTGGTTTTGACCTGTCTCTATGTTTTTTGTATCCCTATCTATATATCAAGAACACGTGATTGTTCAAATGGATGTCAGTGCATGTGAGCCACAGGGCCCATGTGGAGGTCGGAGGTCAGCCTTAGGTGATAGTCCTTGCCGACCGCCTGGTGTCTTTGTTTTTCTTTTTGCTGTGCACACCAGGGCAATGGCCGTCTGGGGACTTGCCTGTCTTCGCCAGTCATCTCCTAGCTATACCGCTATGACAAATGCAGTAACTGTACCCGGCTTTCCTGTGGCTTCCGGGGCTCAGGACTCCGGCCCTCAGGTCTGTGGGCCAAGCTCTCTATCCACAAGCTCCATCTCCCCAGCCCTGTGGCACCAAGTAACAGAACGTGACAGGGAAATGGTCCTTCATCATCTTACCACGGTTAGGGTCATGCGGTCTATCTCATGCTTGTCTTTGGTTTTGTGCTGTCGGAAAGGGCTGTGGCTGCGGGCAGAAAACAAAGTTCTGTCAAAGCGTGGCATTGGCTAACTCAGTACAGGTGCTAATATCTGGGTAAAATTTAATACACAGACGTTCAAAGATCATCAACACTCGCCATTTCTGGCAACCAAGCCTAGCCACAGAACAGACGGGATCCTAAATGAGCCAGACACATCTCACTTGATCCGCGACACAGTGACAAGCGTCTCCAGTCAAAAGTCCCCTGCAGGGCACAGGCATCAGGCAGCCACGCTCCGGATCCAGCTCCTAAAACAGCCCGATGGCCTGTGTCGCAGCGACGCGTCCCCGTGGTGGTGACCGCCGATCAGCCTAGAAGCCAGGGTGCCCAGCCTGACACTGCCTTGGTGGCAAGGACTGCACCAGGAGGAGTCGGGAAAGCTGGGGTCCCTGTGACCTGGCTGTTCACGCAAACCTTCGGTGTCCACATCCAGACAACAGACGGCGGCGGCGGCCGACGGAAGGCGTAGGCGCGACCAGCGCAGCCAGTTGTAAAGATCCAGAGCCCGGCCACGCTTGGTGAGCCCTGAGAAGGACTCCTCTTGCTGTGACACTCGTTTAGTTCATATATTTCTCCTTCTTACTCTCCAAGCTATGATTCTCAAATAGAGTTACACCAGGCCACTTCCAGCCACGTATGTAACGTTACCGTGTTCTCCTCCCCTCCTCTCTCTCTCTCTCCCCCTTCTCTCTCCCTGCTCCCCTTCTCTCTCCCAGTTCCTTCTCTCTCCCCCTGCTCCCCCTTCTCTCCCCCTGTTCTCCCTCTCTCTCCCTGCTCTCCCTCTCCCTGCTCTCCCTCTCTCTCCCTGCTCTCCCTCTCTCTCCCTGCTCCCCCTCCTCTCTCCCCCTGCTTCCCGCTCTTCTTCCTTCTGCTCCACAGTTTCCATACTCTCCTATAATCCACACACATATGATTTTATGTCTCTCTAAAGTCTGGAACCACAAGGGACAGGGCACACGTGATGTTTGTCTTCCCGGGACTCATCAGTTTGCTTTATATGATTAGCTCCAGAACAGCCATTTTACTACAAACAGCTTAACTTCATTTCCTTTATGGCTGCAAATAATTCTGCGTGGTCTTCATCCATGCCTCCCAGGCTACTTCCGTAGCCTAGCTGCTGTGAGCTCTGCTGGGGTGAGCTTGGGTCGGCAAATGTCTGTTCATGTAAAGTTTTACATAAACACCCAGGAGTGCTATACAGTATCTCTCTCTCTCTCTCTCCTCTCTCTCTCTCTCTCTCTCTCTCTCTCACACACACACACACACACACACACACACACACATACACACATGGGCGGAGGGAGTCTATGTAGCCCAGGCTAGCCCTGAACTCACTATATAGCCCAGGCTGTCCTCAAACTCACTTCCGTCCTCCGTCTTAGTTTCCAGTGTGCTGGGATTTCACGTGTGAGCCACATTTTTTTTTTTTTTTTTTTTTTTTTTTTGCGTCTTTGGAAAGTCTGCAGAAGCTAGCTTTCAAAGGAAACTTTATCATTAAGTGACATTTTGTATATGCAAATTAGAACTCGTGGCATATCGATGTAATTTGAGTTTGATGAAGGGCTGGCTAGGACTGGGGTTTCCTTTCAGGGAGGCATGTCTTTAAGATGACCAAGCCTGTTCACAAGGCATGAGAGACAGAAGCTGAAACAAGACACTCTGGGAAACTTTCCGAGGCCAACTCTGCCGATTACAGAGACATGATCAAGGCAACGCTAAAGGATCCCACCTGTCCTGGGCTGCCCCTTCCTGCTGCAGGGAACTTTTTTTTTTAAGACTCCTTCCTTCTCCGTCCACACAAGAGAGGGCGCCCCAGCGTCGTGGTGACAATCACCATCTCCTAAAAAGCAACTAATCTGAACAAAAAATTCACACAAGGCAAACTGGCACTAACCAAGGATGGGCGATAGTCTTTAAATAGGTTTGACGGGAAATATTCTTTTCACCTTGTTTCCAAGGAGAAGGAGCGTGCGATTACTGCGCTCCAAGAGGGAACCGAAGCCAGGCAGGGTGGTGTGCCAGCAAGGGAGACGGAAGAGCAGAGGATCCAGGGTTCACCGCCATCCTCAGCTAGGCAGGCAAGCACAGACTACATGAGACACCATCAAATAAATACATAAAGTAATAGAAACCCAAAGCACTGCACGCTTCTGCTTGGACAGTCCTCTGTGTTCACATCCACAGAAGTATCCGCACGCTGAAGTCAGGACGGATGGATGTCAAGTCACCATCAGTCTCTCTGTTTCCCACCCTGCTGCTGCCTCCACCCTCCTGTGTTTCTTACGGTTGGAGAGGACTTTGGACTTGAGTGTGTGCTCACGCGTGTGAGTGCAAAGCCAGCGGACTCCATTCCGTCCTTGACCTCTGACATAGTGTGAAGGTCATCCCCCAAAGCCCTGCTGAAACATAACTGTGGTGTGTGCAGGAGGTGGGGCTTCTAAGGGTGAGGTCAGGAGGGCTCCAACCCAGGAAGGGATTAAGGCTGCTATGTGGGAGGGGAGGGTCAGAAAGGTGAGTCCGGCCTCCCGAGTTCTACATGTTCCCTCTCCTACTCTCATAGTCCCCTGGCCATGTCCTCTAACGACACTGTAGGAAGTCCCTCAAGCTGCTGACTGAATGCCTGGCTTCCAGGACCATGAGCTCAATAAAATTCTGCCCGTTATAAACCACCTGGTTGGCGCGATTCTGTTTCAGCTGTACAAAATAGTCAGAGACAGCCAGACGGCGGTGGCACATGCCTTTAATCCCAGCACTCGGGAGGCAGAGCCAAGCAGATCTCTGTGAGTTCGAGGCCAGCCTGGTCTACAGAGTGACATCCAGGAAAGGCTCCAAAGCTACACAGAGAAACCCTGTCTCGAAAAACAAAAACAAAAACAAACAAACAAAAGTCAGAATGGGAAAGAGCCCCGAGTCCTCCCTACACCACCCCTCCATCCATTCCTAGGGCCATAGGCCCCTTTCACAAGCCCAGTGAGTCCATAGCTGACTCAGCAAGGCATCATGGGAAATGATTTTCCAGCTCTGCCACCCTGGGCCATCTCGTTGGGAACACTTGAGCGTTCAGCTCCACACACGTGCTGCCAAATGGAGCCTTGATTACTCTTTGTGAACCGAGTCTGGGATTTGGCTTTCTATTTTGGAAAATGTTTTTTTTTTTAAAAAAAAAAAAAAAAAAAAAAAAACAACCCTCAGATAGTAACATCTCCATTTTGAGCAGGACAAGTGGCACTCACAGCCCATGTGATGGCAGCTGTCCCCGATGCAGGCTCCGTAAATAGGTGCCCAGGTCCCGGCTTGTCACCAGCACAGAGTGCAGAGATACAATCGCCAGCACTGGGTGGCTTTTGACTACAGCGAGTCCACATCTTGGGCGAAAGCACGGCGCTCTTAATTAGAGAGTGCCAGGCCGAGCACATCCCCCTACACCTGCTAGGAAACTGAGGAAGCCCACACACTCCGACGTTAAATGCTTCAAATCCACAGGGCTGACACGGAGCCCAAACCACTACGACATCCGATTAAACCCTCTCACAGCTTAATTTTAGAAGGCAGGAAAGATTGTGTGTCACGTCAAATATGCCTTTGGAGTGTGAGCCAGTAACGGCGAAATATCTATAAAAGGCCCCCTTTCCCTCTGTGGAACAAACCCCAGGGGCGCTTAACCCTGCCGCCCCCAGGCCTCTGGCCAGGTGCTATCCAGATGGAAGACGTATGTGGGGGAGGGGCCATCCCCAGAGCGAGAGTTCTTGATTCCCATAATTGTTCGTTTGGGGGGCCAGGGACTCTCCTCTGCACTTAGATACTTGAGTCATGCCCATGCAACCCTAAGCTATGACAACCAAAACTGTCCCCAGGGAGCGCTGAGTGCCTCTGGAAATTGAAGTTGCGGGCTGTGAGGCTGCAGCTGCCCTAGAATGAGATGGGGCAGGAATGGGCTACCCCCAGGAATGCAGCATGCCTCCAGGCCCAAGCTCTGCCCACCCAGTGTCCTGCTTCACTCCCCTCCCATGTCTCGGGGCCAAAGAAGAGCAGCTTCCGGGGCCTCTGGACCACATGTGACATGTTCACAAGACACAAAGCAATCCTGAGTCTCCCCGGGTGCAGCTTCCTGAGTGGCATTTACTACTGTCTACAGCTTGGGAAGAAAGGTCCCCTGCCTAGTTCCTCCTCATTTACAAAAAAAAAAAAAAAAAAAAAAAAAAAATCCCCTTATTTTTATTTTATGTGTATAGGTGTTTGCCTGCATGTTTCTGTGCACCATGTGCACTCTGGCCAGCAGAGGCCAAAGCAGGAGCCGGAGTCCCTGGAACTGGAGTTACAGATGGCTGTGAGCTGCTGTGTGGGTGCTGGGAATCGAACCCGGGTCTTCTGGAGAGCAGAGAGTGCCCTTCATCCCTGAGGCATCTCTCCTGTCTCAGTTCCTCCTTCTGAAGACCCGCCTTGGGGCCTCGCTCATGAAAGGTCTCTGTGACCCTTGGTTCCACCCGAAGAACTTCTGACTACACCCTCCCAAGAGGGAAACCCTGCCCTTCCGCGTCCAGGTGCACGCACGGGATGTCCCTGTCTGTCTCCGCTGAGTCCCCACATCCTCTCCAGCTGCAGCTCAGGCACGTCTCTGTCCCTCTGACTCTGTATACGCCCGCCGCTTCTAAAACCATCTAACTGCAGGTTACATGGCCCTGTCATCCCTTTGTTTAAAAGCCCTCAGTCCCGGACACCAGGAAACAAGGCCACGCTCCACAGCACACACGGAGGAGACCCTCCCAGGTCTCCATTGCTTCCTCTAACACACTGTATCTGAGACACTAATTACCACTCACGGGCCCCCATGGTGAGCTGCCACCTGTCCCCACATCTTCTCCATCCTGAGAGCTCTGTCTCCCACACAGTCACCCCAACCCAGCCAAGCCAGAAGTGGGTCTTCCATGTCTCTACTCCAGCTCCCGGTCGGTCCTCTGGGGAGCCTGCCCCTCTCCTGCCTTCCTTCTCCCCTCTCCTCCTCCTCCTCCTCCTCCTCCTCCTCCTCCTCCTCCTCCCCCTCCTCCTCTCATGCCAAGGCCCTCATGTGCTTTAAGTACTCAATAAATGTTTATCGAGCTCAAATCACCGGAGTCGGAACTCATTTCCTGTTCTTTGCTCCCTGGTGCTGTGCTGCTCCCTGGACGGACTTTTGAGTAAGCACGGGAGAGAGACCTGGACCTCAGTGAGGAGGATGCATCCAAGTCCGTCTGCCACACAGGCCAAGACGCCTTCTCCTGGGCTCAGGCAGTCAGCAGACAGTGACTGGGAACTGGCCCTGGAGAAGGTCTAACACTCCTTTTGACAGCTAGAGGTTTACATATGGCCACACATATAAAAGACTCTTAGGTGACATGTGTGTTCTCTCTCTCTCTCTCTCTCTCTCTCTCTCTCTCTCTCTCTCTCTCTCGTGTGTGTGTGTGTGTGTGTGTGTGTGTGCGTACACGCAGATACATGCATGTGGGGAGGTGTGCAGAGGTCAGAGGACAGCTTGCAGGAGCTGGTTCTCTCCTTCCACCGTGTTGGGCCCAGGGATTGAACTCAGGTCCTCAGGCTTGGTGACAGGGGTCTTTACCCGCTAAGCCCTCTCACCAGGCCGATCTCTTCCCTCCCTGAAGCAGCCCTTCCACGAGACACCCCCCCCCCCCCACTTTTTAAGGGCTGCGGTCAGGCATTTTGGTCACCTGGGCTGTGTCTACTCTCTGGCTTCCATCTCTCTCCCCTCTCTCTCCACAGTGGTCCCTGGGACCATCCTCAGGGGCCTTCAGGTCTGTGACAAAAACCCTCTTGCCACAGGAGATGAAGGACTTCGCCAAGGACTTTCTATTTTTCCCATTCGGAAGGACGCGGAGGGTGAGCTGCAGCTGTGTGAAACTGAACTCACTCCGTGAGGGCCAAGTCACAGCTGCAGAGGACCGAAGTGATAATTAGACAAGCTCTTCCTGATTCTTCAAACGCACAGTCATGTGACTGCAGACCCTCTCCAGACATCGAGCACGGACCGTTTTTTACCAACAGCTAGGGATGACAAGGAAGAGGCAAATTGCGCCTTCCCAGGCTTGCACCGTTTCCTGGGGGGTACTTTATTAACGTCTCTTGTCTCAGACAGTTTGACTGTTGCCTCCAGGGACCGGAGGGACTCCTGGGTGTCCCCCTGGACCTTCAATGACTGCTGTGGGGGACAGAAGGGAGTCTCCCTAGGAAATGGCTTCTTCTGGCTCGCCCGGCATAAACTCTATAATCAGGTCAACTAGTCTGCCAACAGGAATGAAGGGCGCCTGGGCTCCGCCAACATGGTACTGGTAATGCGATTACGGAATAACAGACCCGACTTTCTTAGCGGTAATATCATTTTAGATCCCCGGGGAATACAATGGGCCCAGCAGAATTGGATTTACAGAAGCATCAAGGATGTAGTGAGTTGCACTTGGAGCCACGTTTGGGGGCACTGTGGAGTTCAACGGCTCTTCAAACGCACTAAACAGAATGTATGAGTTTTCCCAGGGGTGCGGTGAACCCTCAGCAGGCTGTGGGCACAGGCTACTGGGCAACTGGTAAGAGGGAAATCTAGGGAAAGGAAGTGGGGACAGGGGTCTTTCTTAGAGCTTTGCAGTGAGAAGGAAGGACACAGCTGGATTCCCCTAGAGTCAAGCTCCTGGTTAAAACCAGCGGAAACATCTAGAAAGTCACGGAAGGCGTCATCTGTCCACAATCCAGTGTGAGAACACATCTTGGGGCACACTCCCTTGCTGACCAACTCAGCATCCCTGTAGCTTAGCATACAGTCAAAGAGAAAGGTCACCTTCAGAGACACAGCTTTAGCAGGCTCACAGAGAAAGGCCAACTTTTCAGGTGGGGTTACTTTGCCCCCCACACACACATACACCCCAGAATTCTCCAGATATTTGATGCTAAGGAATCATGAGAAGGCATCTGTAAAGGGGGCGGGCACCACCTTCTCCAATCATCCACATTTTAATACTTTTGCCTAGTCCCAGAACATGCCCTCTTGGTTTGCTATATTTAGTCTTATTTTTACCTTAGTCCTAGGTTAAGGTTCACGGGACCTATGATGTGGGACGGAAATACAGAACCACAAAGCTTTCATCTCTGAGCCCTCAGGACAGACGCTGGCCTGAGGGACACAGGTGGAGCCACAGTGGCAGTCATCTGCAGCAGTGTGGCTTAAAGGCCACTGTGTGATTTAACATGACATCAAGGTAGTAAGGTGTAAGTATTCTTCCCACCCCACCCCACCCCCCACCCACCCCCACCCCCGTGCTGAGGATGGAACCCAGGGCCTCCTATACAGGAGACGAGTCCCCCGCCGCCGCCGCTGAACGCACCTCAGACCAGGACGTCCCATTTGACCCAAGGACTCCCAGGACAGGACAGAGTTCCACTCACCCCCGCAGGAGCTTGAAGAGCATACAGCCCAGGGAAAACCAGTCCGCACTGCTGTCGTAAGATATGCCCTTCTGTAACACCTCGGGAGCCATGTACCCATGGGTGCCCCTGGGGAGGCAAAGGAGATGGTCACAGGAGTGTGCTCGCTCTGGAGTGAGGGGGGTGCCCCCACGCTGAGCGGGCAGTGGCTGAGCACGGAGGAGAGAGCATGCACCAGGGCCCGAGCGTACGCCTTGTGCCGAGCACCCCGAGGAAGACGGTCATGAATTCACATCACTGAGGTCACACGGGAAGGGAAGGAGGGTGGGGGCATGGCGGAGGTGTCTGTCACCCCACTGACCTCCAGTCCAGGGTTGATTCCACTGGTCTGGCTGGCTAGGTGGGTGTCTGTGAAGGCACAAGGGTACATACACACTATGCCCCAAGATGAGCCTGAGGGACCCGGGGGGATTTTCTACGACACCATCAAAAAGAGCCTTGGGAAAGGCTTCATCTGCAGCCTTTCTGTCTCTCACTGGCTTCTGTCAATGAGAGGATGAAGAGGGGCTGAAGGGAAAGCAGGTGTGGCCACGGCTCAGCCCCACGGAGGCCCAAGAGTTGAGCTGAACCAACACAGGGCAGGAGGTGGGATTCAAATCATGCCTTCCTTAGTTAGGGTAAGTGCTGCTGACTTGCTGACATACACTGAGGATCTACTCAGAAACCCCTGGTACCTAAGGATCATGGGTGATCACTGGAGCCCACGGAGGAGGCTTAAAGGAGCCGCACAACACGTGATATGGGTGCTGGTAGATAGTGGCAGGCCTGGCTTTCTGCAAGGTGCCAGCATAAGATCAAGAGAGCCATGCTTGATGGCTCAAGGAGACCTCTGCCAGGGCTTCCAAAATACTCCCTATAGGAAGACTGAACTCCAGGGAGAGATGATCTACACTGCAGGCTAATGCAACACCAGGGACAGTTAGGAGAGGAACTAAGGACCCCCCCCCCCCCCCCAGATGCACTGTGTGGACCAGAGCAGGAGCGGTGCTTACCCGTCACTCAAGGCCTGGAGGAAAATGTTTCACTTTATTTAAATGGCACTGCCGGCCAAATGGCTGGGATGGCACAGGCTGAGGACGCCAGCCTTATGTTATCTTTCTCTTGTTGGGGTGAGAAAATGCCTGACGTAACAGCCTACCGGGAAGACTTATTCCATTTGTGACATAGTCTGGAAAGTTTCAGTCCGTAGTCCTTGGGCCCATGGGTTGGGAGCCCATGGTGAGGTAGAGCATGGAGGCAGGAACAGGCGGCAGAGACCACTCGGCTCGCAGCTGACAGCAGGAAGCAGGAAACGCCACATTCCTGTGTTCTCTCTCTATCCCGCCCAGGTCCCTAGCATATGGATTTCGGCTACCATCTTCAGAGTGACTCGGCTCACCTAATTAACCCTCTGGAAACACCCTCGCAGACACACCTGCTGGGCTTTCCCAATCTCAGTACAGTCGTGGTGATACTCAAATGTAACCATCACAAGGATGGCTGGTTTCTATCCTAACTTACTCCTAAGAAAGCTTGTGGCGATACATTGTGTACCCCAATAAAGCTTACCAGAATCAGAGGACAGACCCAGCCACTAGATTAGATGTAGAGGTCAGGCAGTGGTGGCACACACCCTTAATCCTATCACTCAGGAGGCAGAGATCCATCTGGATCTCTGTGAGTTCAAGGCCACACTGGGCTACATGAGAGAAACAGAGCCAGGCAGTGGTAGCACACAACTTTAATCCCAGCACTTGAGATCTCATGCCTTTGCTTGGGAAGCACATGCACCTTTAATCCCGGGAAGTGATGGCAGGGCAGAGAAAGGTATGTAAGGTGTGAGGAAACAGGAACTCACTCTCTTGAGGCTGAGGATTTTGTAGAGGTAAGCTTGTGGCTGGCTGTTTTGCCCCTCCAATCTTTCAGCTTTCACCCCAATATCTGGCTCTGAGTCTTTTTATTAAAAGACCTTCTAAGATTCGGACAAGTCGGGTGGTGGTGGCACACGCCTTTAATCCCAGCACTCGGGAGGCAGAGGCAGGTGGATCTCTGTGAGTTCGAGGCCAGCCTAGGCTACAGAGTGAGATCCAGGACAGGCTCCAAAGCTACACAGAGAAACCCTGTCTCGAAAGACCAAAAAAAAAAAAAAAAAATGCTGGGCATTGCGTGGACAGCAGCTTCTGACTGGCTGGAGGAGAGGGCCTTGCCTGGAAGCCCTTTGAGGTGACTGTTGGGTGATCTCCACGACTGAACCACAATCTGGGAGTGGAGGGACATCCTCCAGGAGAAATGAAACAAGCTGATGTAGACAGCTCTGCAGGTGTTCTCTGGCATGCACGGGAGCTGCCCAGGACCGCCACTGCATACACTCTGCGCATTTTTCTGCGTAAGGTGGTGCCAGCATTTAAACCAGGAGCCCGCCCGACTTCTCAGCCCAATCTCTTAGCCAGTATCAACTGTCCACGTGGATCTGGAACACCTGGGAGGCAAGCCTCTGGGCACACCTGTGACTGAACTGATTAGGTTCATTGGGGTGGGAAAACCCACGCTAAAAGTGGGCAGCACCATTCCCTACGCTCGGGTCCCGGGCTGCACAAGAAGGATAAAGTGAGCTGAGCATGGGCTGTTCCTCTGACTGGATGTGATGTGCCCAGCTGTCTCAGGTCCCACAGCTAGGACGTCCCTGCCACGATGCTTTATAACCTGGGATTACGAACCAAATAAGCCCTTCCTCCCTTACCTTGCTATTGTCAGGGCGTTTTAGCACAGCGATGGAAAAGGAAGCTAAGACACCGTTCAAAATACAGTTCTTCCCAAGACAGGCAGAAGAGTCCTCCATGTGGAGGTGATGCGACTCTCAGGACCAAGGCGGCCAGGCTAGTGGGATAAACCAAGCCACGCCACAGAGCGAAGGTTCTGGGAAGATGAATTCTTACGAATGCTCCTATTCTTGTTTAGTTATGACTTCGGTAAACTGAAGACGTGAGCACACCAGAGTGGGGTGGCATTAAAAATTCAAGAGCGTCTCTTGAAAATGGCCGAGGAGCGGCCTGGGAGAAGTGCGGGTAGCCCACACTCCAGCAGAACATGGATGCCTCAGGGTCCCGCTCCACCCTCCGAGCAAAGAGCAGTCTACTTATAGAAACTGTGCAGTGTACGGCCCACATTTCAATGCGGGACTGGGGCTTTCAAAGGCAGTTTTGATTGAATGTAGGCCCTCACAGAGCGCCGCAAATCCACCCCTGTGGTTCTCGTTACACACACAAGAAGAGTCTGTAGTTCATTTTCCACACAGACACATGGGACGAGACTCAGGGTGCTTATCTCCAGGACCACTCAGCAGAGAGAACACTTGCTCAGAGGGACAGTAAAATGTAACTGTAAAAGATTCGGTGCTAAGAATGAGAAATTTTAGTGTCCATGTGTGCGTGTGTGTATAGGGGCCATACTCAGGCCCCGGCTCACGCGTGGAGGTCACAGGAAAACTTATGGGAGTTTTCAGTTCTCTCCTCCCATCATGTGGGTCCTGGGGATTGAACTCAGTTAGTCAGGCAGTGCAGCAACAGCTTTATCTGCTGAGCCATTCCCGGACCCAGAAGGAGACAGTCTAGAAGGCAAAGTGGGGTTTGGGGGTGCGGCTCACTGGGACACTCTTCTCACTGCTTCTCCGGAGCTGGGGCAAGGCTTTTACCTAGAGGCGGCCTCAGGCCAAGTCACCTGCACTTAGCACTGACCCCACTAAATGCAGCTCTGAGTCCTCAGAGGCGGCTAAGGGCCACGGGCTCAAGAGGCACTTCTCTGTGGCAACCAGCTCACCTCCTGAGTCTAAGGACGTGACCCCTATTAGACGCCGGAACTGTAAGGAAGTAGATGGATGGTTCCCAGCAGTTCCTGATTTCTCGGAAGTACAGGAGATGGAGATGAGAAGTCCGCCCTGAACCCTCCCCGGGGGCATTCTGGGCAGCCATCCCAGGCCTCTCTAGGGCATGGGCTCTGTAACGTATTCTGGCGATGGGGGTAAAAGAATTTATTAGCTCTGCTTTACAGAAGAGAATAAAGCGGTGAAGCCAACTGGCCCAGAGTTTCACGGGCAGTGTGACCTCAGCTTCCTACGCACCAGCTGATTCCCAAGCAGGGTCAGGCCCCCAGCGCCATGCCTGTCCTCACAAACAGTGACAGGGAGCACGCCTGTCACACAGGGAGCACTCCCAGCTGATGAGGGAGATGAGGGGCACCAGCACCCCGGTGCTGTTGCCTGAACCCAGGTGCCATGGTGCAGAAACACAGCAAATACAGCAGACAAGCTACTTACACGCTGGCGTGAGGCTTCTTTTTGGAGAAATCACAGGCGAGGCCAAGATCGGATATCCTCACGTGCCCGTATTCATCCAGGAGGATGTTCGCAGGCTGAAAGAAAAAGAAGTTCAAGAGCCCCCAAGAGATCACCGGAGCTCCACAGGGCGTACCCTCTGTCATCATCTCATCATGGCCGACATGACCTCACAGGGTGCATCCTATGTCATCATTTCATCATGGCCGACATGACCTCACAGGGTGGATCCTATGTCATCATCTCATCATGGCTGACATGACCTCACAGGGTGGATCCTATGTCATCATCTCATCATGGCTGACATGACCTCACAGGGTGCATCCTATGTCTTCATCTCATCATGGCCGACATGACCTCACAGGGTGGATCCTATGTCATCATCTCGTCATGGCTGACATGACCTCACAGGGTGAACTCTGTCATCATCTCATCATGGCCAACATGACCTCACAGGGTGCATCCTGTGTCATCACTGGGAACTCTGTGTTCTCAAATCAAGGCAGCAGGGCAATGAACATACCAACACTCTGCTAACTTCAGTGGGAAGGGGCTGTGGGAGGGGCAAAGCCCCGCCACCACCAGAGAGTGACACCCAAGGTTGGGGCGGGCAGGAAGGTCCCCACCACGGAATTGAAAGCATGTCCTCCCCATTACTCCAAGAGCTTCGGTGTAGCCAGCATGGGCATCCTAGCCCTGGGGAGCAGGGCCACCATCTGTGGACCACAAGGGTACAGACAGGAAGGCATCTTGCAGAGATGTGTAACTGCTGACATCCCAAAGCACCGTGACAGTTCTGATGAACAGCCATCACTGACGAGGGCCTTACCAAACGGCCGAACTGGAGTCTGGCCCTGACTCTGATGTGACTGGGATGTTTCCATCCAGATTAGATTTGGACAGAGCAGTCACAGAAGCAAAGACCTCCCCCTCAACGCACCCAACTACAGTCACCTCAGGAATATCTTTCTGCCCTGAAGCACCTATTGTCTCGCCTAAAATAAGAATAATGGCAAGCTCTTACCACACTGAAACATGAATAGTCATGAGTGACTAGGATTAAACTCTAATAGGAATTAAATCAACAGCATTGCCTACTAAACAGCTTAGAAAACAAAAGCAGCAGAGAGATGGGTGGAAGCCCTTCGAGGGTTCAAGACACAAGGGCAGCAGCTCCATGAGCTGTCAGCGTGTATCTGGTTCCTCATAAAATTCATGAACAACTACCACGCCATGAGCCCACCAGCATCTGGTTATTTCTAGCTCAATAAAAAAAATATCAGCCGGGCGGTGGTGGCGCACGCCTTTAATCCCAGCACTCGGGAGGCAGAGCCAGGCGGATCTCTGTGAGTTCGAGGCCAGCCTGGACTACCAAGTGAGTTCCAGGAAAGGCGCAAAGCTACAAAGAGAAACCCTGTCTCGAAAAACCAAAAAAAAAAAAAAATCTTTTCTTCTGTATGTGCACATAAAAGCTAAGAGAGTAATTCTTTAACCCAAAGATCACTTTCGATTTCACAGAAGTATTCTGGAGAAAAAAAAAATATGTATGTGTGTGTGTGTGTGTGTGTGTGTGTGTGTGTGTGTGTGTGTGTGTATGTGTATGTGTGTGTACGTGCACGCACACTCAAAACCAAAATACAGCATTTTTGCTTCCTAGATCAATCATTAGTAGGACGGGTTGGCACGTCCTTATTCCGGCCACTTGGAAGGTCGAGACAGGAGGACCTCAAGTTCCATGCTGCCCTGGGTTACACAGGGAGGCGCCTGCCTCAAACAAGCAACACAATGTCCCACTCACAGAACCTAGAGGAGAGGTACAGGACTTCATCCCAGACCACCGCGTGCTCAGATCATTCTGGACGGAAGTGCGAGGCAAACACTTTCTCTCGGCGTTTTCTTATCCTATCAGTAAACTGTCAGCCCTACTGATTTCCCTCTCCTCGCTACTTACACATCGCACCCATGTCTATAGTCTGTTAGGGTCTCCGTCCTTAACGATTTTGTTTGTTTGTTTGGTTTTGTCAGCTTGACACAAGCCAGAGTCATCTGAGAAGGGAGAACAATCATCGAGAAAAATGCCTTCGTAAGATCAGGCTGTGGGCAGGCCTGTAGGGCCTTAATTAGTGATCGATGGGGGAGGGCCCAGCCCATGGTGGGTGGGGCCATCCACAGGCTGGTGGTCCTGGGTTCTATAAGAAAGCAGGCTGGGCAAGCCATGAGGAGCAAGCCAGTAAGCAGCACCCCTCCCTGGCCTCTGCATCAGCTCCTGCCTCCAGGTTCCTGCCCTGGTTGAGTTTTTGTCCTGATTTCCTTTCATGATGGATTATGATCTAGAAGTGTAAGACAAATTAACCCTTTTCTCCCTGCGTTGTTTTGGTCATGGTGGTTTTACCACAGAAACAGAATCCCTAGCTACGGCCATCCCTTTTGTCTTCTCCGTCTGCATCACACACAGATGGTGTCACCATGGACACACCCACCATCCCTCCTTCGTGGAGACCCCAGCACCAAGCACAGCTCCAGAGCAAGAAGCCACAGCTCAGTTTCATTGCCAGTCAGCCCAGCGAGGAGTTTCCGGCAAGTTCTACGGGCCGAACTGCAATCCACAACCCACCCCTCTCCCATCCAACCGGCCTTGTCCCACGGGAGTCAGGATGCCATCATCCTTTATCTTGGCACACGGTTCGCCTTTATCCCTCTCAAACCCTGACCAACCAGCAGGGCAAGAGCTGTTCCTTGGTGAGCATCAACTGAACCATGATAATATACAAAAGAGAAATGCCCCGAATGTGCTGACCAGCATCTCCTTTGTTGTGTAACTCCTGGACCGTGTAGGAGAACTTCTTCACCCAGCGCCTTAGCAGGCACTGAGGCGGTCATGACAACAGGGACTGGCCATAGGTACCACCCCTGCTGTGGCCACACAGTGAACAATGCAGCCAGGGCCGAGACAGGACCAGGAGGAAAGGGACAGGGCCTTAGGGCAGGGAAGGGGGACCCCAAGGGGCCTTGGGCACCACCCGACCCCTCCTCACCTTCAGGTCTCTGTAGACGACGAAGCGGTTATGCATGTGCTCGAGACCCAGGATGATCTCGCTGGCATAAAAGCGCATCTCCTTCTCAGAAAACACCCCATGCTGGGAGAGGTGGTAGTGCATGTCGCCCCCTGCAACCGGAGACCCAGGGGGCAGGTCACAGAGTGTCCACTGAGAGTAGACGGGGGTCACCCTAAATAAGGGTGCTGGAGGAAAGGGGGATGACCCTTCCTTTTTGACTTGGTATCTGTCTTTGAGTCCTGTAACTCGGCCAAAGGTGTCGATCATTACAGAGACAACTTCAAGGGGATGGTGGGTGAGACAGTGTCTCATGGATGAGACAGAGCCACCATCTGGGGCTTGGTGGCTCTGCTGCCAGTTACATGGGCCCAGCTGAACCACTGATGATTTAAACCTGCCCAGTAACTGAACCCACCTGTGTAGTGTTCCAGCCAGAGCAGTGACTGCCTCAATAGTCCACAGTTTAAAAAAAAAAAAAAACTAAACCAGAGAAACTTTAAACATTGGTCCCGTGGAGGGAGATTTGATGCTGTCAAAACAGTGAAGTATAACGGACAAAACCCAGGCGAAGGGTATCCAAGCGCCTTCATAAAACAGTCGCCCTGGCCGCGAGCTCAGAGTTGTTCAAAGTACAATGTTGGGAAAAGGAAAGAGCTGTGTGGCTTCGAGGACAATCCATAGGGCCCAGGGCAGGGAGGAGGTGTATGGTAAAGTCTGGCATGTGTCTGACTTTGCTGCCCTGGACTCCACACACCTCTTCCCTCCTTGGGCACACACTGAGACACTAAAGAAAGGGGCTCCAAGCTCTCTCCAGTGGGCCAGCTCAGCCTCCGCCAGCCTGTCCCTGGCAGGGAAGGGGCCACTCTGCCCTCAGCCCTCTGCCCATCCACACACAGGATCTGCAGGGCATGCGCTGTTGGCTCTGGCGTCTTTGACTCATGACTGATCTTTTGTCCTTCCTATTTTGAGGGTAGATCTGATCTCAAATCAAACCCTCGAAACATAATAAAACTTCAAGTGAACCAAAAAAAAAAAAAAGAAGTGCATCTGAATGGCTGAATGACTGGTTCATCTTTTATTTCAGCGTTTCCTAAAAATACCCCAAGTGCTCCAATATCACATTCTCACGCTGAAAGCACTTTTTTTCCAGCTGAACATTTTGTGTCTGTGCATTTTTGGGGTGGCTGTTCATGGTTTCAAAGACGAACACCGAGTCCTGAGGACTTGGGAGGCACAGAAGATCAAGGCGGAACCCACACAAATGGGCCCTTGAAAGCCAGCTTCTCAACGCATGTCTATCTTTGGCCTATGTTCTTAGGAGATATTTCATTCCTAAGAGTTGAGCCCAGCAAATAAGCTAATTAAAGGCTGAAGCCAGCTGCCGTCCAGAAGGTAAAACTTCAAGGCCCGTCTTTATTTTATGAGATGTTTCGAGACCCGGCTTCCCAGGGAGAGCGTGGCAGACTGAGAGAAAAATCACAGCCAGTGTCGCAAGACCAATCTACCAAATACCAAAGGGCAAAGACGCCCTCCAACTACAAAGAGACTCCAATTATGGGAGAGATTCACGGAGCCCCAGCATGCCTGGGTGCCACCAGCTCAGAATGAACGCCACGCAGGGCTCTCCACGGCAGCCAGACACCTGGGGCCTGCTTACCGTTCATCAGGTCCAGGATGAAGCAGAGTTTGTCTGGCGTGTGGAAGGCGTAGGTCATGCAGACAATGAAGGGACAGTCCTAGAGCGGGTGAACACAAGCCTGTGAGAAGCTGCCCCAGAAAGCACGTCCCCCACCCAACACCCCACTGCGGACTCCCGCTGAGCCTTCTCCTTGGCACTGAGTGCGACATGCACTGGTCACTTCAGAAGCCATGGAGCAGCAGATCCCGTGGATGACAAAGACACGGAGACACGGGCCACCATGGGAGCAGCTGGACTTGCATTCTCTCAGCCTGATTCAACCTGGCATTGCTCTGATCACAGCCCCTTCAAAAGACCAAAGCCTGCCCCGCTGGTCTCTGCTGGCCACGGTTTGGGTCCTGGCCAGTCAACTATGTATTTGAATCTCTGCTTTGGACTCAGAAGAGCCGAACGAGAGAAGGTGGTTAGCATCCGTGTTATCAGGATGAAATTCGCCTCTGAAGGTGGAAAACAGGCTGTCGAGTGACTAACAGAAACACTCAACAGTAAACGGGGGTCCGTGCCCCTTAGATCAGCTGTGGACTCCACAGAAGCCTCACAGAACCGAATGCTGAGAGGTGGGTTAACGGGCGGGACCACAAATAGTCAAAAAGCATAGACACGCTTTGCGGAGAAATAAGCGAGGAAGTCACAGGTAGATGTGATGACGTCTTACGGGGCTTGCTGGGAACATTGGTGCTGCACAGCATGAGGACCTGCGTTCAGATGCCCCCACACGCTGAGCACACGCTGGAATGCTGGCACTGGGGAGGCAGAGATAGGGATTCCCTGGAGCTCGCCGGCTGTCTGTCTAGCCAAGTCAGTGAGCTCCAGGTTCAGGGTGAGACCCTGTCTCAAAACACAGGGTACAGAGTGACAGAGGAAGCCTGCATCTACTCTGACCTCCACAGGCACACACGTGGACAAGCATCCCCACACTCATACACACACACACACACACACACACACACACACACACGCGCGCGCGCACACACACACACACACACACAGATGCAAATATGCATATATACATATATGCATGGAAAAACACATATGCACACACACATACACTCATACATACAAATACGTATACACAAATACACAAGTGCATATCATTCATACACATATACACACAGGTGCATATACATGCATACACACAGTTATGTACACACACACACACACACACACACACACACACACACACACACACACACACAGAGAATACTGCCTATAAGGTAAATGTATTTCAGACAGCATGGTCTAAGCTCATGCCCAAACAGTACAGCCAAGGAAGAACCCTCCAATGGGCACACATGTAGATGGTCTCTTGTGTGCAATAAATGTGACATAAAGGGCCACAGGCAGGGTCAGTGTTTTCTAGCTGTGCTGAACAGCTGAGCATCTATACAACACAGCCCAGGCGTGGCCTCAGCTCACACTCTACATGAACGCCACCATTTAGACATCTTGCTGCCAAGCTGTGACCAGCTGTCTGGAGCCGTTACCCGGGTTGCGCATCACCTGCCGACCCCATGACCTGGCCACTCCACACCAGGTAGACAGTCGGGGCCCATCTGTGCCGTGGGTGCAGGAGTACCTCCCGGAACTACCTCACAGCTCTGCTTGGATTGGCCTCGCCCAGGAAAGGCCTCAGAGAAGAGTCAGGGCGAAGGCACACTACGAACCCAGGAGTTCCTGGAGCTAAACAGTCCCTCAGGCCCCCAGACCACGCCCAGTGTCTCCATCTAGCCCCTGTCTCCTGTCCTTCCATCTAGAAATGGAAGAACCGTTCTTGGCTCACGGGCTGTCTAGAAGACGGCCTCAAGCTGGATTTGGTCCCCGAGCCACGCAGCTCTTGCCAACCCCCGCCGTCCAGCTACACATCAAGCCACTGCCATGTGCAGGCAACACAGGCCACCTCAGGCTCTCAGGGAGCGAGAAGCAGAGCCGGCCACACACAGGTCAGGCTAACAGCAGAGCTAGCCACCTTGTGAAAGCTCAGGAGAGGAATGGCCTGGGCAGGGAGCTGGTGTCCCAAGCCTTGGGTGACTTCAGGACTTCTGACAAACCTATATCTCCTGATGATCACTCTTCAGATCTCTGCTGGACTCATACAAGGACTCACCAGTCCAGGTTCTTCACACGGCCTCACTGTTGTTTATGTTGCGGAATATTTGTTAACTATGCAAAGATGTGTTGTATTTGTTTAAGTTGTGGAATATTTAACTATGTAAAGATGTATTGTATTTGTTTATGTTGTGGAATATTTAACTGTGCAAAGATGTATTGCATTTGTTTAACTATGTAAAGGTGTGTTGCTGTTTTACCTTGCCTGCCTAAGGCACCTAAGTAGTCTGATAAAAAGTTGAACAGCCAATAGCAAGGGAGGAGGTATAGCTGGGACTTCTGGGCAGGGAGAGTAAGTAGGGGGAGGAATTTAGGCTGGAAAGGAGAAAGAAAAAGAGATGCCAGGGATATGCCAGCCAGACACAGAGGAAGCAGGAAAATAGAACATACAGAATGAAAGAAAGGTAAGAAGCCCTGAGGCAAAATGTAGATGAATAGAAACAGATTAAATTAGGTTAAAATAGCTAGTAGGACAAGCCTAAACTAAAGCCAAGCATTCATAATTAATAAGTCTCTGTGTCCTTATTTGGGAGCTGGTTGATGGCCCAAAGAAAATTCCAACTACATCTCACCACTAAAAGGTCTCAACAACAACTTGGCCTATCCATACAATATAGACTTTCTCAACACCGTGAATTATTAAAATCCAAAAAAAAGATGTTGAGGTTTCCACAGTACAACTTAAGACCTTGGTGTTAGGGAGACACTAGTCTGTAAGGCTCTTGCCATGCAAGAAAGAGGGTCTGAGTTTGATCTCCAGAACCCACATTAAAGAGCTTGCAATCCCAACACCACGGAGGCAGAGAGAGGTACAAACTTGGGCTCACTTCCATAAGTTCTGGAGAAAACTGGGTCAAGATGAACAAGTTTCCTCTTTGGTCCTCTGTTGAGATGGTGAATTTACTGACACCAAAGGTTATGTACCCTCAAGTACAAGAAGCACAGAGCTATCCTCCTGTGAGCCAGTGGCCTTCTGGGGCCCTGTCTTAGGGTTCCTCTTGCTGCGATGAAACACCATGACCAAAACTTAGTTGGGGAGGAAAGGGTTTATTTGATTTACATATCCACTGAGGGAATCCAAGACAGGAACAGGGCAGGAACCTAGAGGCAGGAGCTGATGCAGAGGCCATGGAGGGGTGATGCTTACTGGCTTGCTCCCCATGGCTTGCTCAGCCTGCTTTCTTGTAGAACCGATCACTAATTAAGAAAATGCCTTACAGGCTTGCCTACAGCCAGATCTTATGGAAGCATTTTCTCAATTGAGGCTCCCTCCTCTGCAGTGACTCCAGCTTGTGTCAAGTTGACAGAAAACTAGCCAGCACAGGCCCCGCATACTTCTCCAGATCTCCCCATGACCTTCTGGGGACATCATTTTATTCTGCTTCCCAGTTCCCTCTTCTTCATCAGGGGACTCCCCGAGCAATTTCCCTGTGATCTAATGGGCAGCTCAGTGGAATAGAGAAGTGGGCGGACCCAAAACTCAGTAAGGCCAGGGTCTTTCCCAGCTGTGGTAGGGAACTGTACCCAGGACACCAGAGGACCTTACAGGGGAGAGTCTGGGACACCATGGCTTGTAGTCCTTCTAACAACAGCCCTGAGAAACCTGCAAAGGGGCTGGCTGTGTCTCCCTGAGAGAGCGAGCGTCTTTAGTAACATAATGAATGAGTTTTAGACTTAGAATCAGAGGTTCTAAAAAAATTAAAAAAAAAAAAAAAAAACCCAGCAGGTCTCACTTCCTTCATTCAAAGACCAGAAAGTCAAGTCCGTTGAATAGGGAACTGCTTGCCAAAGGCCACAAAGAAATGGGTAGCCAGCCACGATGGAAGCCCCACATCCCCTGGTCCCCTGAGCATCCCCATAGCTCCCTATAAGGTGGTTTCACCCAGTGCCAGCTACAGGCTCCCCTCAACCCAGTTCCAGATGGGTGGATCTACACCGTCTTTTTTTTAACCAGCCCCAGCCATGACCATCAAGTTCTGAACATACAAGCCATTCAGGTATGAGTCCTTCAAATCCTTTAGGCAAGCCTTGTTTCTCACGGCCTCAGACCACAGCCCTGTGATGATCTCTGCCTGCCTTCATGTTCATGCCTGGGAAAACCCAAAGCGACTTCACCTGGCCTGGTCACACCTGCCACCAGAGCTTTCTCCGGTCTCTGCGGCAGGGTCAAGCGCCTAACAGCAGCAGGTGACTATGGCGACCTCAAATATGCCCTCATTGGGCATCTGACCAAACTTATGTGAGACTGTACAGACACCTGTGGCCAGCCCCTCCCCCGCCACACCTGAGAAACCCCCCAGACATTACATTACATTAGCTCAGTTGCTCCCCCAGGGTAAGTGGTGACAGTTTTCATGGCTTTAGTTCAAGCCCCATAGTGCTTATCACAGATAAGGTATGAAACAGACCAAAGGTGGTAGCGTAACGGAAATGGGGGGATGCTGGGTACTGCCTCAGAACCTGCAGCCTGCAAGTATCCTTGATCCAAGGGCCAAGCGGACACCAGGAGGAGTGTCACATGCATCCAGGATATGCAGGACCAGATGCTGACCATCCCAAGCCCCTTTACTATAGCTCTCTAGACTGATGCACTTGCGTCCGCATTAACAAAATGGCCTCAGGATTAATATCTGAACACGACTTGGGTTCTCTTCAGTTAGCTCAAGTTAGCGGCCCAATGTAACATCATTTTCAAATTTATCCTCTTCAGGTCAGACCAAAGATCACCCACACACCCTTGTCTGAAAAAAGGAAATACTAAAAAAAAAAATTTAAAAAATAAAGCAAAATGGCTTTGTACATTTCCAACATCAAAAAAAAAATACATTCTCCATGTGACTTCTTGAAAACCAATGGGGCTCTGAAACAATTCATTAAAAAATGAGGCTAAATGTCCAGAGTTGGACGGCAGGGGTGCATAACGAGGGATTATTTAGAGCCCCGTTCTCATTTTACAGTTCACCTAAACAACACGGTTATTTTGCTTCGTTCGCAAACATTCCTTCTAGAGGCTCTGAAAAGAAGTGCTTAGCATCGTTATCGGCATCAACTCAATAAAAGCTGGCTGTAAAAAACCACTCTGCTTCCAAAGGGATGATCCGCAAGTGAGCCTGGGTCCCTGCGGCCAAGACCTGGAAGGGGTGGATCCGTTCTGCGTCTCCGCAGCCCTCTCACCAGCTGAAGGGGGTTCTTTGACTAGCCGTTAAGGTCTGGTGCTTTCAAACCCTGCAGGCAGGGAGGACTGTCAGAAGGGCCCCACACATGGCTGGAGGTGACAATTAGAAATTGCCCACCTATGGCCTGGACAGTGACAGTCACCCTCCGATTATGACAGGGATACTGCACCAGGGTACAACTCCATCCTAAGCCCTTGGTCCCACGCCCCTGCCCTGCTCAGAGTGCTGGCCCATAGCCTTCTGGTGTCCACATGCCCGCATAGATTTTGACAAGGGAAGCTGTCTTGGTTGGATCTCTGGGGTTTTTGGTGGTAGTGGTGGTGGTGGTGGTGGTGGTGGTGGTGGTGGTGGTGGTGGTGGTGGTACAGTGATTGAACCCAGGGCTCATGCCTGTCCCCCAAGAGTGCTCATTCCCCAAGCCACACAGCCAGACAGGTAAGTCAGAGTGGAAGTCCCACCCTCTGCCTGGCTCATGACGGGCAGGGGGCAGCCTTTCTTCCTCTGGTTACCTTTCCATCGCATAGGCAATTTTTAAAGTCAGGTTCAAATGTTCTTCTCCTCATGAGGTCCACTATCTGGCACTACACTCTGCAAAGAAGGAAGCCAGGGGAAGGGAAAGGCAGCTCCGAGGGAGGGAGGGGCTGGGTCTGCGGAACAAGGGGCTGCGCTGGCCTCACGCTCCACCCACCACCACCCAGCACGGCCCTCTCTGTGTCCACGCCCTCACCCACCCTAGTCCAACCTGCTTCACCATCAGCTGGGACAAACAAAACCAACCACCGCCAGGCGTTGGTGGCGCACGCCTTTAATCCCAGCACTCGGGAGGCAGAGGCAGGCGGATCTCTGTGAGTTCAGGGCCAGCCTGGGCTACCAAGTGAGTTCCAGGAAAGGCGCAAAGCTACACAGAGAAACGCTGTCTCGAAAAACCAAAAAAAAAAAACCAACCACCAAGAGTTCAGACCCCGGGGGTGGGGGGTGGGGGTAGGGGTGGGGTGGGGGGCAGCCACTCACCCCAGTGCTGACGAGGGACAGCATGATCCTTTCGTTCAAGGCCAGCGTCTCTCCCTGCTTCATCTTCACCCTCTTCTTGTCTAAGCATTTCATGGCGTACCTGAGAACACGGTGAAGGGTGAGGGTGGGTGCAGTCTAGGCCGGGAACCCGCGCCAGGCTACACAAACTGCTGGGGGTATTTCTACCGCATTGAGAGAAAGCAAGACGATCGCCCCGGGGGGTGGGGGGGCCCGCAGGGAATCTCCACTCTGCCGGCACTAAGGGAAGAAAGCAATCAGGCAACACGAGAGGGATGTCTCTCCTCGCGTGGGTAGAGATGCTGCTCAGATAACGTATGGAGCAGAAACAAACAAATAAATAAATATGTAACGTGTGCTCCTGCCCCGGAGCTTCTGAGGCGGGTGGCGGGGCAGGGGAAGGTGTGGATCAGATTTAGCTCTATGAGCTCTTCACTGTAAGACCCTGACTGGATTCTCCCACCCTCGTCCATGTCCTGTGGTCTTTCACGTCTGCGGCTGATAAGCCAAGGGGGGCGGCTGACAACTTAAATTTTCCAAGAACCATCACAGATGGAGAAAGCGGGAAAACGCTTTCAGTAAAACAGCGGGAAACTGAAAGAGAATTCTAAAGTCTGTGTGACTGGCACATTTGCTTCACCCCGTTACCCCAGGCTTGTTGGGGAATGCCTTGAGGCAGAGGCAGGCGGGTCTCTAAGAGCTTGAGGCCAGCCAGGGCTACACAGTGAGACCCTATCACATGACCTAAGGGAAAAGCAGATCAGTGCTCAAGCTTAGTGTTCCCTCTGCTTGCACAGACGCTCTCATGTGTGCAATTCCAGGATGGCTCCCTGGTGTGGGAGCTCCACATGCGGCTCCTGTTGGCTTCACAGCAGCCCTAAGAAGTAGAGGGCCGGGCTTACTGTCCAAATTCAAGCATCAATTTCTTTCTGTGGGACTGAGGCCTCCATAAAGCATTCTTAACGGTCCTGGTGAGACAAGACAGAGGCTCACATTTTCCCGGTGTCTGCTTTCCTGCAGCCGTAAACTTCCCCAAACCCTCCTCGGCCGATAATCCTGTGCACGCTGAAGTCATTCATGGTCAGCTGTGGAAGCATAAGACAAAATGAAGACACAAAATCACATGACGTCATGCCGGGGCAAAGCGCAGACAGCCTGGTGTCACCTTCCCCTTCCAGGACAGATTGCTTAAGCTGAAAGATGAGCCTCACAGGATGGTGTAACGATGACCCGCCTTCTCCCCCCCACCCCCAGCCACCATGACACACAGGCCCAACATGGGGACAGGTGTGGGGCCGCAGTGTGGGAGGGGATGGTCCCTCCACTCTTGAAAACCTTGGGGGTTCTGCAAGCCGTGACCCTAACTCGTTCAGGCCAAGCGAGTGTAGCATTCCTAGACAAAATGAAAAGTGATCTCAGGCACCAGGCAGCCTAGAGTTTGGGGACAATCAGACCGTTCCAGGCACTGTCTGGGGGTAAGACAAAAGTTCGTGTCAAGAGCAGCTGTTTCAGGCCAAATGTCTTTCTAACTGGAAATGCTGAGAGGCCGGCTGTGGGAAGCAGGCCTCCTCAGAGGAGTGTAACAGAGAGCCATAGAAAGAGACTTCATTTACACATGTGCTCCCTCCATCAACAGAGCTCAGGGGCCAGGAAAGAAAGAAGTATGTGTGTGTGTGCGTGTGTGTGTGTGTGTGTGTGTGTATCTGTGTATATATGTGTGTGTCTGTATGTGTGTGTGTGTGTATATGTGTGTGTATATGTGTGTGTATATCTGTATATACATGTGTGTACATGTGCGTCTGTGTGTCTGTGTGTGTATGCCTGTGTCTGTCTGTGTGTGAGTATATGTGTGTGTATCTGTGTAGATATGTGTTTATGTGCGTGTCTATGTATATATGCATGTGTGTGTCTATGTCTGTGTCTGTGTTGTATGCCTGTGTATCTGTGTGTGTGAGAGAGCAAGAGAGAGAGAGACAGAGACAGAGAGAGACACACACAGGGAGATAGAGACAGAGACAGAGAGAGACAGACAGACAGAGAAATTTGTCCCTCATGCTGAGGCCTGAACCATTACTGGGCCAATGTCCTACCATTGAGCTAAATACCCCAACCCCTACTTCTGCCCATTTCAAAATAAGGAAAAGGTTATAAAATAATCCTGAAACTTTATTCTAGCAAAAGATTCTGCTCCTTTTATTACATCCTACAGTAAGACCGGGGAAGGAAACGTCACAACGTGGCAAGAGCCTGGGCTGCACAGACGTTATATTAAGTGGAAAGCTCGCGTTGACACTGTTATTTTGGGGGTCAATCAATTCCAGCTTAAAATAGCCCTTCTTGCGCGTATAAACTCATTCTCCCACAAACGTGAGAAAAGAAAGTTAAGGTCCCGACTGCTTCTCCGTGAACACGGGGCCTGCCTTCCAGTGCACGGAGTTGTACACGGACATCTGTGCTGAAAACCCTTGGGGAGAACGTTCCAGAACAAAGTACTTTCTCATGACATTAGGGCAGAGGAAGTTTTTATTTAAAAAAAAAAAAAAAGTACTCACATGAATATTTAATTCCACATTCTTCCACTGACAGAACCTGGTGAATTTATCACTAAAAGAGAATATAAATAATTAGTAAAGAGTTATGGAACACTTAATGGAGTTCTGGAAGAGCCTTATGGGATGGGATGGAATTGAACTCCTGTGTTGCCTCTCACACAGGAAAGTATCCTCTAACACCACACCTGCTGCCTCGCACACAAGCCCTGCACCTTCTGCTCGGGGAAGATCTTGGAAGATGGGCAGAAAGATTGTAAGAGCCGGAGGGCCAGGACATACAACAGAGAAGCTGTACCCATGAATTCTCAGCAATACAGCTGCCCCAACGAGACCAGCACAGGGACAATACCAGTTGACCTGCTAACAGGGACAGGAGACACCCCACACGGTGCCACCCCTAAAGGAAGATCAGTCTCCTCCAAGGATGAGCACCCACATCGCTTGTACAACCCCCAAGTGGTCAGCCCCATGCACACATGTACACGTGAGCAAAGCTAAGTGGACTCAGGTTATTTACTTGTGTGACTATTTGTACACATGCACATATATGTCTGTAGCAAAGAGCAACTATAGACGAGACCATGGACTTAGAAATATAAGAGGAGTTGGAGGTGGGGAGAGGGGAGAGGGACGACATATGACCTCAAAAAAATATATTAAAACAATTTTTTTTTCACCCAGCTTTCATGGATTCACTTTGCTGTTTAAATGAAAGACTCGGTGTCTCTCCTCAGCTGTCACATGCCACGTGTATAATTTGATAGTGTATCGATGCAAACTAATGCACCCAAGTTACCACTTGGAGATCAGTGTGAGTCACCACTGTGATTTTCTATGTTTCTCTTTCCAAACGAGGCCTCCGAGACCCGGCTTCTTTTGTACACGAGGGGCATTTCAATGTGGAGGAGTCTCACTTCATGGGTTTGGTAGCTATAAATTATAGATTATAAGCAGATTATAGATTATCAAATAGCTACTATGTTAGACCCTCTGCTCTAAACGACCAAAAAGACAAGGACAAGCGGGCTGGAGAGATGGCTCAGAGGTTAAGAGCACTGACTGCTCTTCCAGAAGTCCTGAGTTCAATTCCCAGCAACCACATGGTGGCTCACAACCATCTGTAATGAGATCTGGTGCCCTCTTCTAGCGTGCAGGCATACATGCAGCAGAACACTGTATACATAATAAATAAATAAATAAATCTTTAAAAAAAAAGACAAGGACAAGCAATGCTCACAAACAATTCTAAGAGTACCACACAGAGCCCGTGTTTGCCCCATGCCCAATCCACACGGCTCATTGATCCCTTTCAATGGCCCTATGAACCGGGACATCCTGACCCCACTCTACGGCAGCCAATACCAAGGCCAGCAAATGGTACTGGGCAAAGGTCATACGTGGGTGAACAGGTGGACACAGACCAACAGGCTCCTGACTTCTCAAAGGCCCATGGGGTGCAGCAGAGAGCCCCTCACACTGATACTCCAGATGCCTTCCCCACTACCTGCCAAGCAGGAGAGAAATGTCTACCCTCCGTCTTCTTAATGCAGGCGATATCATGTCTGCTTGTTCATTCGTGAGCAGGATTTCATGTGATATTGTTATAAAAGGTTCAGAAGAAATGCAGGGTGTGGGCTTGGGCAGTGTAGTGTGGAGGGAGAATGTCTATTGAACAGGAATGGGGCCCTGGATTCAATCCCTAGAGCCAGAAAAAGGAGAGAGGGGGAAGAAAGAAAAGAATCAGAGAGAGAAGGGAACGGAGGGGTGATGAGGACCTGAGGGCTGCATCTCACCCAGCCCCCGAGTGATTCCTCCTCAGGCACAGAACTCAAGGCTCTTTGAATAAAGCAGGGAAGAGGAAGGGAAGACGGGGTTCTTGTGATGTCACAGGTACCAGCATCCTCAGGGAAAGCTTAAGATGCCAACTGCCACAGCCCCCAGGGATCATCACTACACTGGCCCTGAATAAAAGGCTTCTGATGCCAACCACCCAAATCCCTGTGGTCTTCGCAAATACACAGCATCTTTCCTCATGAACCTAAAATGGCCTTCAGAGTCTCTCTCGCTGACCCTCCTAACGTCTCTCCGAGGCTAAGTTTAGAATTACGTTTCAGATGTGCATTGGTTCATGCAGAAGCATCAGCCTTTCCGAACCACTCTTCCGTCTCAGAGTCTGGGTTTGACAGGATCGGACACATTTACGATCAGCCTTAGAGTGCTGGCCGGCTCAGGAAGAGGAATAATAAACCAGTACCCTTTGTCTGCGAAGCATTTACTTGCTGTGACAAGTTCCTCTTCAGGAGGCACAGATGTCCCCCGGGTGGGTAGCAGAGTGTCTGCCGCAGGGTTACATGGGCACAGTTCCTCATTAACACCTGGGGCAGGGTGCAAATCTCTAGGGACGGGGAGCCTTCGGCAGCCAGAGCCGAAGGACCTCAGGAGGCTGGAGGGTAAAGAGGGTGAAACCTGGATGTGGGAGGGGCTTGGGCGACTCCAGTGCCTGCTCTTCTGCTCAGTACAAGAGGTTCATTGAGTCAGCTGGGCTCCCACCCTCTCCCCCCCCCACCCCCCCACCCCCACCCCCCCCACCCCCGGCTTCAGTGTTCCCTGGAAGCAACAGCAGAGAGCCACAGCCACACTGCTGAGGTTTCCCCCTCTTCCAGACAGATGGCAGAGCTCACAGGAAATCCCATCTAGCCTCTTAACGCACCCACCCACCCACCTGCCTGCCCATCGCTGGGGATGCTCAACGCCCGTGCTTTCCAAACCCAAACTCCACACTCCCAATGAGGCGATGATTTTCCCTGGCATTCCAACGATGAGGGATCACTAACTCTTGGGGTAAAGAAGAGAACGGGCCCAAGGCCTGGAGCAAGGGGAACCCCCATCACACAAGAGCAAGATGGACTCAGAGGTGGGAGCCAGATTGAGAAATCAAGGCTGAAGCTCAGCTCTGAGCCTGGGCTCCTGTCTGGCTTCACTGAGCCCCTTTCTAGAGGTTTCTGCTAGTCCCAGGACCAGAGGCCTGTGAACATATAAATGAATGTCAGTTCCCCCAAGATACTGAGCACACTCCAGGATAAATGAACTCTTGATTCTAGCAGATTCACGGTAAACACACACAGGGGACTGCCTCTCGGGGGCTCGGAGCCCAGAGAAGTGACTGGGAAGTACAGACAGCTCAAGGGGCACTGACCAGCTTCAGGGTATCAGATTGCACACCACTCTGCAGCATGGAAACCCAGGGGGACGAATTCATTAAGCGTGCAAAGGATGCCTGTGAGCACACAGTCTATCCCTTCCCAGGCTTGTGCCGCCGCTTTGGGAGACACGCCTCAAGGTCCCAAGATGTGACATCAGCTGAAACGCGGCCACCACACCGCGTCAACAGAGGCCTCCCTATGATCTCTGTAAAATGGAAGCTCCCCAGACTGTCTCCATTTTAGACCCTGTTGCAGGAGAAAGCAGGGGGTCCAGGGCGCGGCAAGCCACACACCCCAGAGCTGTCACAGAAGTGACAAAGAAGTGTCAAAGTGTCAAGGAAGCAGTATGCCGGAAGGCTGGCTGTTGGTCACGGCCACTAAGGGCCTGTGGGAGGATAAACTGATGCATGTTGGAAGGGCAGCACACCCTGGGGGGAATGCCAGGCATCCACACACGTGGGGCTTCTGGGCACACAGCAGGCTGCATACCTTTCCATAAACTTCTGGAAAATATCCCCTCGGAGGCTCTCACAGATTTCTTCAATGTATGGCTGGAAAGGATGGAGAAGAAACAACACTATGTCAGTAGGAATGAACCAAAGGAAGCCCACGTGCCAGTGGACTCTGGCCCGAGGTCAGCGACTCGGATTCCCACGGGGACGTTGGCTGCCGCTGTGTTTGCCGATGTGGCTGTCCCCCTCATGAGGAACAGGCTCATCACAGGGTTAGTATCTCAGCCAGCCGTAGTGGGTTGCTGTTCTATGACCTTGAAGCACCGACCCCAGAGATGCAGCAGGTAACTGCTCCACCTGCCTATGACCTTGAAGTCCATGTCCCCGGGGCGTGGCCTCTCCGGCACCCTTAAGACCTGAGGTGCACATAGGCAGCTCTCTTCCCTCACTCATGGTTTTTGGAGACGGGACTGAGTCAGGCGGCTGGAACAGCGTTTCCAGAACCTGCGACGATTCTGTTATGTACGGTGAGTCTTCCCCCTAATAAATTCCTTTACCTGTTAAACAGACTCTGTGGGTTTCTCATGACAGTCAGCTCCCGCTACATTCCACATAGTCAGGGACATGGACAGCTCTTCACGAGCTAGGGACACTTCTTCAGTGATCCGAGTTGGCTTCGTGAGCCACGTAGAGGGTCCCAGCCCTTAGCTATGTGGGCCTCTGCCGTCATCTTGAAATTCTAATTTCTGAAAAGGGGGATCGCCTGTTTTCACTTGACACGGGGGCCCTGTGAGTGAGTTTCCCAGCATGCTTTGTGACCTGCTACGAGCCTTTCCCATGTGGGTTGAGTTTTAAAGACTGGAAGCTGACAGACCTACAGACCACTGTCGTAATCGGCTGTGTTATTAATTAATGTTATACCTTTTTTTTAGACTCGGAGCTAAAGGTACTCAGGAGAAGAGAAAGGAGGCTGCGGGGTGGAGCCGGTGCAGTCGGGGCTTCTAGGGAGTTCCCTGGGGAGGCGCCGAGGGCTGCAGGTTCCTCACCCGGGGCACCAACTACTTTCTACCTTGGCTGTGCTTCCTCGTTCTGAACAAACAGCCCCATTTTCTGCTCCACACACTTGAGCTGAGAACAAAACGCTGGCGGACAGCCATGCTTCAGAGCTCACCAGAGTCCACGAGATCTTTTGGGGAAAAATATCTTGATAACGCTTGACGAGTTGGACGATGGAAAATTTTAACCTTTTCTGTCTCTTCACTAAAAGTTTGCCAAAATATGTAGAGAAAAATATGTAGAGAAGGGGGTCTGCAGAAGCGGACGGTGTCGGGGCAGCAGGGAGCTCGGGCAGGGACTCCAGAGCGAGGTCCCCATGTCCATCAAATAGACTTTCTCCACGGGGAGAAATGAGGTGGGCTCATCCACGGTTTACTTTTCCGTTTTATCGAACACCCCGTTCTTCCTATTAATCGGGCAGCAGCCAAACCTCTCTAGGACAACTCTACCACCATCTGGCCGCATTTTAACAAACCAAACCTGTGCTGATAGCTGCTGATTGCCAGCCCGCCAGGATCCAGAATCACCATGGAGACAGATCTCTCGGCACGTCTGTGAAGGGAGAGCCACCTTGCATCCCATGAGCGGGCATCTTCCTGACTGCGGACTCACGCCACCACCCCTTCCCCACCATGAGAGCTGCGTCCCCGAGGGCTGTGAGCCCCAACAAACCCTTCTATCCTGAGGCGGCTTTCTTCAGGCGTTTTACAGAACCCCCCCCACACCCAGGCACACGGGTGAGGGGAGACAAAGCCCAGTGGTCAGTGAGGGTGGGGGTGGGGGGTGGGGTGAGGGCACACATCCCCTCTAGGGTCCTCAGTTAACCTCAGTCTATAAGAGAGGACCGTTGCATCTAATAAATGACAACCAAATAAATGAAATTTAAGAATGTCGCCGGCAGAGCACAGGGCCTAGCACCTTTTAGTCACTGGCCAGCCAGGCCCCTCTCCATCATCTCCAGCCAGGCCCCTCTCCATCTCCAGCCAGGCCCCTCTCCATCTCCAGGCAGGAGGTGGACAGGGCACTGAGGTGCTCAGAAGGGATTAATACAGTTCTCCTGGGACTTTGGTCAGTTCTCATGAGAGGATAGTTATGAAAGAACAAGTCTTGTGCCACATCCCCCATCTCTCTGGCCTCAAGCCACCCACCATGAGAAGAGGTAGTCTAGAGGGTAGCTGGACTCCGGGGGGTGGGGGGGGGTGGGCTCTACTCCTGATCTTGGACACAGTATCCCAACTGGCTAAACGTTAAGTAAAACTCTTTACTGCAAGCAGTCACTTGGTTCTTGAAGATAAATCTTACTTAATGCTGTATTTCATCTCCCTTGTGGGAACCTCAAGAGACACATGACAAGCAATATACCATACAGTCCAGCAATGTCAGACGTGACTCGCTATGGGCTATCTACATGCCATGCAGTTGATGGCACAGTTCAGCAATGTCACACGTGACTCGCTATGGGCTGTCTGTGAAAATCAGCTGAAAGCCAAAGTTCTCACACTACAAATACCATGGAGATGTCAATGCAGACATTAGCACCACACTGACTGTAAGATATCTAAGCACAGCTTTCATTTGAGGGATGTTGAGAAGGGCAGGCCCCTTGGAAAGCATCCTGTGTGTACCTACTCCACCAAACCTCCAAGGGTCCCTTTCACTGACGAGCAAAATGGGTTCAGAAGCTGCAGCCGTCCGGAGCTGGAGCATGGGCTCCTCCTGTAATTGGCCCGGCAGGGATGATGACCATCTAAAAAGACACTTGTGTCCCCTCCTGTCAGCCACCAGACGATGAAACAAGGTGCCGGAGAACTAGAATTCCCCCAGGAATCTCTGCTCAAGGGAGGGAGAGGCTGAAACATGGTGCCAGCCAGAGGAGGGAATGTTATGTGGTTCTGTGAACTCATTGGAACACCTTGCAGGAGACACTACAGCCTGGACAAAGTTAATAGACAGGACAATGCCAGAGTGTGACCAGGTCTGCTCAGCTATGCATACAGCCCTCTACCTAAAACTCATCCTCATGTTGGGACCCAGATGATGGACTTAGGGGGAAGGGTGGATCTCTTGGTCCTTCTCCCCATTGACCCTGCTTCAGAACTTCCCTTCCTCTGTGTCTCACTATTAACTGGGCTCAGCTATATTTCTTATTAATGACCAGTAGCCAAGCCTAGTTTGTCGGTGTTGTCAGGGACATGGGCTCTGACCCTTCACTCTGGGAACATTCCAGGCTGTGCAGACAGGTCCACCTCACTTCAAGGGGGTAAGCCATGCCCGATATGCCATTAGACAGGTGCTCTGAATCTGAGAATTATTGACTTTGTTTTGCAGAAGTTTGTAACGTTCTAAGACACCGAGTTCCAAACCAGTGGGTATAGTCACATGCACCTGTAATGGCCCTGGGGAGGTAGAGGGTCCAGGGGCTAGCCTGGGCTTTGCCAGTGTATCTCACTGTAAAGAACCTGGTAATGCAATAAAGGAGGAATTCATTCACTTCACTTTTGAAAACTAATGATTAATGAGGTTCCTTCAGTTCTCCATCACTCACACAAACATGAACACACACTACCTGAGACTCCGACTGCCCTCACAACCACCGCCACCTCTACAGAAAACCCATGCTGGAAAAGGCTCTTGGGAGAGATGTTGTTCGGCCCGGACGGCAGCAAACACATACAGGCCTGTCAGTGGAGAAGCCAGCTTTCCAAGTCTCATGTTAAATCTTTATAGTGTTCAGGGTAGAAGCCGTCGAGTGACATGGGACCCCGAGGGTTCTCGGAGCATGGCTTCTAACTCTCGAAACATAAATCTCACTTAATCCGGTGGATAATCACCAGAAGCCATATCACCCTGTTCTTCATAGACACCAAACGCCAAACAGGAGGAAGACTCGGTCCTGTCTTAGCTCAATGGATTCCCAGAACATACAGTTACAGGAAGGCTGCATCAGCCCCTTCCCGGGAACATCTGCGAAGCCTGTCGGCAAGGCAGCAGGATGCGGCAAGAGAACCCAGGCGCTCTGAGCAGACCGCCACGGCATCACTTCTGCTAGCCTAGGAGACGTTATCAGGTCTGCGTGGGAGGTGGGCCAGAGACGTTTGTTTTGAAACCATCTTACCTGAAAAAGGGTAGCGGTCACCTGTTTCTTGGAGAGATGGCTCTGGACATGTTCCACAGCTTGCTTGGAGAAAGTCTTTAAAAAAAAAAAGGAAAGGAAGGAAGGAAGAAAGAAAGACAGCATGTTTTTAATAAGGAGGTGGCTTATCTAAAGATCACACATTTCAACAGATGGCTTGACACAGCAATCCTGTAAGAGTAACCTGTGGGCTCTCTGCAGGCAGTCCAAGCACATACTGTCTTCTGGGTATCCAGAATCCTTCTTTAGGTGCCCAGAATAGAACCCTCAGTAGGTCAAGGTTCCCATGGCAACAGAGTGTAAGGAATCCCACCACTGCCTGACTACGTAACCTCTTCCTTCCTCGACGACAGTTCTGTAGAGGTAAGCTGTCAGCTGTGTCGGAGGAAACGGATGCAGGAGCATGCATGTAGGAATTCAGTACAAGCATTACAAAGCCAGGCCACAGTGGCAGCTGGCTCTGGGTCCAGGAGGTCTCACTGCTGCCCCAGCAGAGGGCAGCTGGGGCAGACAGAGTGGAACTTCCATGCGGGTTACAAAGTCGATCTTCCAGAAACCTTTCAACGGTAGTCTGCTTTATTCAGATTGTTTATCACTGATTAATGGGATGCCTACATTTCTTACAGTTCATAGAATCGTGAAAGTATGCTACCCATCTGAGACTGCCCTCACTACCATGGCCACCTCGACAGAAAACCTACACTGGACAAGGCTTTCGGGGAGAAGCCTTTCACCCTAAGCAGCCGCAAGCACACACACACAGGCCTGTCATCGGAGAGGCCAGCTTTCTGAGTCTGGTCATTTATATCTCTGTAGTGTTCAGGATAGAGGCAGTCAAGCGGCATGCCACTCATGGCGTGTGGACGGTTCTCAGAGCCTCATTCTAACTCTTGAACATAAATCTCACTTAATCTGGAGGATAATCACCACAAGTCATTTGAATAACACCCACTCTTCCAAAGCTCTCCCCACCCCAATAGCTCAGCTGAGGAAAACCCAGATCACACAGCTTCCATGGAGCACATGCATCCTCTAGGGCTCAGCCAAGGCACCAGGGCACGAAGCGGTGAGCATCTGCCCAGCTCCAATTCCCTCTGCACAGCTCAGTGAAGCAATAGAAGCACTGAGAGGGGCCAGCTTGTGCACAGCCACTCACGTCACTGAGAACTGTAACCATACCCTACGTGCTAAGGCATGACGGGACCATCCACTCAACCTTCCGGCCGCAGTACAATGTTGTTGTGCCTTTGTGTTGCCTCTGGCCACACGAAGCTCCAGGACACTTGAGACAGGACTGACAGGGAGCCCGGAAGCGACCTCATGTAACTTTAATTGCTTTAAATAAACTCAAATAGCCTATGTGGCTAGTGACCATGGCCCTGGATGGAGTAGGTGAAGACTGTGTGTCCTTTATAAAATGTCCCTCATTGGGACAGAGGCATCCACATGGAAATTTCTACATTGATGCCTGGTCCACTTCTAATGAAGTGAGTTCCTAAGAATCTAGTTTATCCCAATTAGATTGTTTATTTGACTTCTAAGGAAGACAATAATTTCAACCATTACTTAACTATTCATGAATAAAATTGACTTAACTATTTATGAATAAAATTAGCATAATAATTATAGTCCTTATTAATCCCAAGACATCACTGAAGATTTATATTAATTAAATTCTGGTTCACCTAATTGTTAAGGTACAGCTAAATTAAAACTAATAAAGCAAGACTAGGCAAATGGCTCAGTGGTATTTGCCTATCAAGCATAAGGCCCTTGGTTCAATTCTAGATTCCCAAACAATACAGCAACACTAATCACCACATCATCATCACATCACATCACATCACACCATCACCATCATCATCATCATCACCATCATCATAATATCATCATTATCATCATCACCATCATCGTCGTCATCATCACCATCATCATCATCATCACCATCATCATCATCATCATCACATCATCACCATCACCATCATCATCATCATCATCATCATCGCATCATCACCATCATCATCATCATCACATTATCATCATCACCATCGTCGTCATCATCATCATCATCATCACCATCATCACCACCACCATCATCATCATCACATCATCATCACCATCATCATCATCATCATCATCATCATCATCACCATCATCACCACCACCATCATCATCATCACATCATTACCACCACCACCACCACCATCATCATCATCATCGCATCATCACCATCATCATCATCATCACATTATCATCATCATCATCACCATCATCATCAGTATCACCATCATCCAACATCATCCTTGACTAGGTGTAGCAGTGTGTGCTTGTAGTCTTAGCACTTAGGACGCTGAGGTAAAAGGATCAGGAGCTGAAGTTCAGCCTGGGCTACGCAGAGAGACCCTGTCAAATAATAATGAGGCCAAGCATGAGAATAAATCCTCACTTCCTTCGTCAAGTCTAGAACAGAGAGTTTTCTTCAATGATCCAAACGAGCCCTCTCACAGCATCAGCTTCTGGAGGAGCCAGCACCGGCTTCAGGAAATAGAGCAAGCGTATGTGCAGCAGGAGACACCGAGTCAGAAACCAACAGTTATGGGAGAAAAGAAGACCTGGACCCCATCCCAGGAGTGCAGCCATACAGCCGTGCTCCCTTCTGGAAACGCGGGCAGTGTGACCCCCCCCACACACACACACACACACACGGCGCTGTCTGGGGAGTGGGGTGGGACACTCACGTGTGTGCAGGACAGGAGCTCCCTCATGATGTAGGCGTCGTACATCTGCCGGCTCCGGCGCAGTCGTTCCTCTTCGTTGTCCAGTTTCTCGTATTCTTTTATCTAGATTTCCGGAGGTTGTCAACATTAGCTTTCAGCTTCCTAGAAACCAGCTTTATTTAGAACCATGACTGACCCGGCCAGCAACCCTTCCCCACGAGAGATAAGACAGATGACCGAGGCAGTGATTCCCCTGAAATGATGACCTAGCACGAGAGGATAATGAGGCCACCAAATCAGGCCCAGCTAGAAACACAAATGGACCCTGAGCATTTTAATATGGAAATAAAGACTACCGTGGCCACAGTTATCCCACAGCACAGAAGCCAGGGGCCATGTGCCCGGCCAGTTCTCTCCAAAGCACAGATCTTCCAGCCTGGCTGTGCTTCAGCTCTGAGATAGAGCTTGTTCATACTCTACCAATACATACTCATTCCCTGGAAGTTTCTATGATTTGTCTCCTGCAGCTACACAGGCACTCCTGGCGTTGTGAACACATGGGGCACAGCACTGTGTCTGTGCTCCGAATCTGATTAGCCCTATGTGAACACCAGACAGAGTATGGGGCCAGCACCGAAACTCACATCTCGCTTGCTTTCAGAAGGCTCACTAATTAAAAAGCAGGCCATCAGCCGTGGCTCCGCTGGCCACAGGGATTCTTGATTTAGTAACGCTACCTCTGATTCTGGCGGGAGGGCTGACCAGGCACTTAAGAGAGTGGGATCATGTAGAGGTGTCTCCGTGCTGAGGAGAAGCACCACCAGGGGTGACAGCATGCCCCTATCATGCATGCAGTCACTCTCTGCTTGGGCGCACACACACACACACACGGCTGAGCATGTCACTGCCCAGGCCACGGCCGTGTCCCATCTCCTCCTCTCTGGCATCGGAGTTCTGCATCTCCGGGGCCTTGCCTCCATTCCTCTCCCTCTCCCACTGGCTTCAGAACACTGGGCGCTCTGGAAGGCTTTTGTCACGAGCCACGCACACCTTAGGGAAAGCTATCAGACCCACAGAGAGCAGCAACAACAACCGCACTTGCGACCTTTCCTGCTCAGTGTCTACGCCGCATCTCCATTTGGGTTCATCTGAAGGAGCCCTGTCTCCACTTACGACGGATCACCGCCGCCATGTCCCACCCTGGTGACCGTGAGGGTCATCACTGACTCCACCCTTTGCCTCCATGCCGCACCCTCATGTCTTCTAGTCCATCAGCCCCTCACACTGGTGCTTCATTCAAAATCCATCACAAACCCCGTCAGGTAGCTGAGAGCGGAATGGTCCCCCTGAGAGCACGACTGTCAATTCGAGGAAGCACTGGAGAGCGGCCTGACAGACACGGATAATGGAGAAGAGACCGCAAACAGAAGCTAAGAGAGAAGGGCATCCTGGAGATGGAGAGCCGCAAAGGCGGGCTCTGAACTCCACACAGATATTCTCTCAAACTTGCTGGGTATGTGATGACATGCGGGCATCTGGGCACAGCCAACCTCCGTGGCCCACAAAGGCTGAGGAGCTGACCACGACTCAGTGGTGGCACATCGCACAGGGGTGTGGGAGAGCCAGGTTCGGCGTCTGCTGGCGCTGAACAACCCGCACCCTTTCGGGAGTTTGGGGCATCTTTGATTGTCAGCCACACCGCTCTGTATGTGCTTCTGTTGTTCACCTGTGGAGGAGACGGACCCACACAGGAAGCAGCAGGTCAGCCGCGAGATCCAGCAAGATCAGGGCTGGAATGCTCGGGGCGAGGACCACACATCCGTGATCACAGTTAGATGTAACAGAACAGCTGTGTGATGCAGGGGGAGATGGGAGGCAGCAGAGGGGAACAGCTGTGCTTCTTTGTCTTAGCATCCACTTGCTACGGCCTAGAATCACCTAGGAAGACAGGAATGCTGGGATTTTCGACCGCAGGTGGCCTCTGGGCAAATCTATGGACCATTGTCTCGATTGTTAATTGACTTGAGAAGGCCCAGTCCATCGTGGGTGGCACTGTTCCCTGGGTAGGGAAGGAGGGTCCTGAACTGTCTGAGAGGAGAAAGTTAGCCCAGAGCAAGCCAGCAAGGAACAGCCCGAGGGGCTTTCTACTCTTAACTGTGCTGTGACCTGCTTCAAGCTCCTGCCTTGACTTCGGTGACAAATGGTGACCCAGGATTTGAAGCAGAATAATGCCTTCCTTCCCTAACTTTCTCATCCGGGTATTTTATCACAGCAACAGAAATGAAGACAGAATGGCAACTATTAAAAAAATAATCAACTGGAATTTCCAGAAGTGCAATTCTGGAAGCTGAACAAAAACGTTCAGCGGATGGATGGGAGAGCAGGCTGTTGAAGCTAAGAAAAGGGGCGTGTGGATTTGAAGACAGACCAAAGACATTATCCAATTTCTAGAAGAGAAAGAAAAACTGAGCAGTGTGTTGAGGCCAACAGTATCCATCAATCATGAAACTATGACCAGAGTCCAGGAAGAGAGGAGAGGGTGTACTCTAAGAAATAATCATCCCAATCGCTTCAGATTGGGTTAGAGATGTAAATGTATAGGCTGAAGAATTTCAGCAAACTCTGCAAAATGAATATGATATCTAAAAATCACTCCCTGGAGAGTAGACGAGGATGAACAGCAGGAGTCTTGTACATACGGAGAAATGTTGTATAGGCAAGCCTGAAAGGGACCTCCCCAGGACCACAAGGAGACGGTGTGGCTGTGGCCACGGCACAGGGTGAAAGAAGCCAGTTTAGGACAAAAGAGGGCTTGGATGAGGACGGGGCACCTCATACAGTGACATTATGTGTGAGCCTGACCACAGAGCTACAACATACAGGGAAAGTGACAACAGAAATCAAAAAGACCTTCCACAAGGGGAGTGGGAGATTTTAACAACTCTCTCATGCCAGGTGACAAAGACCTGAGATAAACTGAGTCAGGATGAAGAGCATCCAACACATGGCAGAGGCCCCAGATCAGCACACCCAACATGCCTGCTGTACGCTTTTCCACACTAGAATCTGTCACTGCGGCGTCTGTGGTTTCACTCGCCTGCCCTGCCCTGTCCATCCCCCCACTTCCACGCTGCCCTTCTCCATGTCAGTTCCTCACATGCCAAGCTCCCCCCACCATGGTAGCCACCGTGTGGCCTCCTGTTCTCTCCTGACTCCACCTCCACGAGGCTGGTCTTCTTGCCATCCACGATCTTGTTTAAATGCCACCTTGCTGAGATGACCTTGAGACCATCCATGTCCAGTGGCCGCCAACCACAATGCACCACACTGAGTCTGGCTGAGCCACCCGAGGAGTTCTTCTGCCTGGGGACACTTGGTCAGTCGGCTGTTGGCTTTCTCTCCCAGAGCGTAAGCTCAGAGACAGCCAGGACTCTGTCCGTTGGTCACGGCACAAGGCCAGAGACACGAGGCTGGTGCTCAGTGAATATGGTTGAATAAGTGGGGGCGAAACAATCTTAGGAACTGACCCTCCGCTGTTATGTTCTCTCCTCTAAGATGGTCTGTGTCATGACAGGTGTCCTGAGAATCGGGCAGGAATGACCACCCAGCTCGCTGGACCTCAGTCTTAAGTCCCCATGAGGTCAGTCCCTTGAGTGCAGGGAGCTTGGCGTCTTACACACTGGAGACGGCCACGTGATTTGTCTCACATCTCACAGCACCTGGAGGGCATGGCTGCAGGCAGACTTTCGTGTGTGAGTCCAGGAAGGGGCAGGATGGAGTTGGGACCCTACCTCCTCTGCCTTCTGAGTGTGGGATCACAGCCCTGTGCCAACAACCCCCCACCCACCCACTTCCACCCCACCCTGGCTTCTACCGCAGTTATTTAAAGTATTTGCCAATTACTCCACTATTTGATTTGTGGATTTGATGATCCGTGCATTCATCCACCCTGCCTTTGTGTCCTGTGACCTTGCTTCCAGGCTCCTTCCGTGCTGTTTACCCAACAATGAAAGTCTTCTCATTTGTTTTCCTGCATCCATCAAGGACAGGCTCTCCCTGTGCCCTGCTGGGCAGGTAGAGGGGGCTGGGTACCTCACGGCACAGTGAGCCACGTCTAGGGCACCTGGGTTTGATCCCTTCCTGAGTGTGGCCTTCCGTGGAGCTCAGGGATGGTCTTTATTCTAGAGAACAAGGAGCGCTCAGCCTGGTGACATTCTACCCTCCTTGGCTTCGGTGTTTGGCATACGTCTTGAGGGACGGGGTCCTTCCCAGCTCACGTGGTTTTAGTTGAAACCCTGAAACCTCTCCTTTCTTTCTGTCCCTGAAGCATCTCTCTGGCCAGTGGGGAGCTCCCCAGCTGAATTCCCAGTTCCCCAGTTCCCCCCAAAAGGAGTGGCTGTACCTTAGCGGTTGGACAGATCACTCCCACCAGGGTGTCCCTCGCCTTCTCGCTTGGCTCCCAGGAGGTCTGCATTCTCTAACCCCCGTAAGGCTAAGTTGGAGTTCAATGGACCTTCCAGAAACTTCTGCACTAACTCTTTCGGCCCCTGCAATCTCAAGCGTCACCCAATGTCTTGGGGAAAGCAGACGTCTGCCTGGGAGCCCCAGCCCCACAAAGTCCCCGCTCTAGCCCTCCAAGATGGCCGGGAAACCTCAGGCGGCAGGCTCCCTTTCAAAGCCAGCAGCACCCAGCCTCAGCTCTCATGGACACAACCAACATCTATAGATGGCCCAAAAAGCCAGGTGCTGCCTGTGACCTCCGAAGGACTCTGGAGCCTGTAGTCAGCTACACTCTTTCTCACTCATACTCCAAAACCTCTGGAGCAGCAGTTCTCAACCTTCCTGACGCTGCGACCCTTAATGCAGTTCCTCATGTCGTGGTGACCCCCACCACCACCACCATAAAATTATTGTTGTTGCTACTTCTTCACTGTAAATGTGCTCCTGTTAGGAGCTGTAATGTAAATATCCGATAGGCAGGATATCTGGTATGTGACCCCTGTGAAAGGGTCGCTGGACCGCCCCCCTCCCAAAGCGTCACAACCCACAGGTTGAGAACCTCTGCTCTAGAGCCTGAGCCATATGTACATCAGCTCTGGCTTGTGGGCAGGGTCAGCGCTGCTAACACATCTGCCGCCACGAAGTTATTTCGATGAACATCTGAATTCCGTGAGGTGTTTACGATCTTTGGGTTTTTCCCAATGCCTGGCTGAACACACTTTGGAAGAGAATTGCACGAGAGGGCTGAGCCTTACCTCTTCATAAAACTTCACCTGAGGCACGGCTTCATCGATCTCGTTCAAACAGAAGTCTTTAAATAGCAGGAAGCCTGAAGGGAGAGACGGGGAAACATCAGCGGGGGAAACGAGGAAATTCTATCCCGGGGGCTTCTTCCAAATAATGTGTTCATAACTCAGCATCTCCGCCCCCCACACACACACACACACTTCGGGGAAAAAAAAAAGGGCGGGGGAATTCAAGAAACCAAGGACACCTTGGAGGGATGGACCCCCCGATGACTGTACCATACCCATGTCTGGCTTGGCATTTTTTCTCTGCTTATGGCCCCTCTCCCATTGTTTAAATGCACATTGTCACCTCCACCTGAGGTCACACACAGGTCACTAGAGCGAGTTCACAGTCCAAGAGGACAGAGATACGGAGCACAGAGGGTTTGTGTGACCACCATGGGGTACCTGTGGAAACAGGGCCAGATGCCCGGGGCTAGTGGAGCTTATATGGCCCTTCGAGGCCCTTCCCTCAGCCCTCACTCACTGCCTCACATCCTAGCGAATCCGTGGGCCACAGCCAGCCACCCATTCCCAAGGAATTCCTTGCTCAGGACGCCAGGACCGCCTTGAAGCAAGCCGTGCCTCATGCCTGGAACACCCCAACTTCCCGCCCGCCCCCCGCACCAACATTTCCAAGACTCTCTACTCCCTCCAAAGTCTCCCCAAGAGTCACCCTTGCTCCGAGGTCTGCCCTGGGTGAGACACAACACTACAGTCCATGGGGGGGGGGGGTCTCGGTCTGTGCACGATTGCTCAAAGGTAAGCGTGTGCACAGGTGCAGGCTAGATGTCACCATCAGGTGTCTCCTGGTGTGTGGTGGTATTATGTTCCCCAAAATATTGTGTACCCTAATAAATTTACCTGGGGTCAGAGAACAGAACAGCCACTAGATACAGAGGCTAGAAAATGGTGGCACTCACGCCTTTAATCCTAGCACTCCAGAGGCAGAAATCCATGTGTTCAAGGATACAGCCAAGCACGGTCACTCACGCCTTTAATCCCAGAATGCGAGCCTTTAATCCCAGGGAGTGGTGGTAGAAAGCAGAAAAGTATATAAGGCGTGAGGACCAGAAACTAGAAGCTTTTGGCCTGGTTAAACATTTGGCTGGTTAAGCATTCACGAGAAGCAGTTCAGCTGAGATCCACTCTGGATGAGGACTGAGAGGCTTCCAGTCTGAGGAAACAGGATCAGCTGAGGAACTGGCAAGGTGAGGTTGGCTGTGGCCTGTTCTGTCTCTCTGACCTTCCAGCATTCACCCCAATAATTGGCCTCAGGTTTGATTTTATTAATAAAATCAGATTCCTCAAGCTCCCATGGCAAGCTTATCTCACGAAACTGCCCTGAGCACCCCCTGGCCCAGGAGAGCGCACCTCCTCCCACAGCTTCTTCCCCCACAGGCTTCCATGGAGACACCCACCACTCTAGTTAGTTTTCTGAGTCTGAAGCCTCCCATCCTTCACAACCATGACACCTAGCAGAAGCCTCACGGTCAAGCCTGAACAAGCCAAGCACGCTGAGGGTAGAGATGGAAGAATTAAAAAAACTCCAGAAGGTTGGGGGCCAAGAAGATGGCTCAGCCACCAAAGGTGTCTGCCGGCCAAGCCAGAAGAGGGTGTTAGATCCCCTGGAGCTGGATGCGAGGTAGATGTGAGCTGCCAGGGGTGAGTTCTGGTATCTGAACATCCCGGCCTCGGGAAGAGCAGGGAGTACTCCTAACCACTGAGCCACATCCCCAGCTCCCAGATGAAACTCTTGTAAGGCAATTTTTTAAATAGAAACACCTCAATAAAAGAGTGGGCACATGTCTGGGCATGAAGGTTGAACACTTTGGGTAAAGACACCCAGAAGGGTCTCCATGTGCCTACCATTCTCTCAATGTAAACTATGTACTCTTGAGACTCCCCTTCCCAACCCCTAGGATAGCCAGGTCACAAAGACTGCGCTCAGTGTGGGCCTCCCCCATTGCTGGGGAGGGCTGTTAGTACCGGGGCTCCTCCCACCTCTGAATCCATAGGCACAGGAGGGACCCTGCTGCCCAGTGACTGGAGACCAAGTGTACATGGATGGGGACTCACCAGGAGGATGAGAAAGGGCGCATGTGCCATGAAGGAAGGAGAGCCTCCACTCAGCACCAATGAGCATGGCCATGGAATTAAAGCCAGTGGGAACTGCGGCCCAACTCAGAATGGGCAGCTCAGAGTCCAGACCCTTCAGGAGTGAAGGTGTGGGTCGACCCACAGGTAAAGACCTCAGGGCAGCAGAGGTCCCAGGGGATGGAAGGCAGCTGTGATGATCAGCCAGAACCAAGTGGCCAGGCTCAGAAGTGATAAGCTGTATGAAGACTTCCTCCGTATTTTGGGTATGAGTCTGTGAGGACGCTAAGCCAATATCTCGTATTTCTTCCCCCTTCTATCCTCTCACGGGATGGACCCACTTCCCCTTAGCGTGTGAGCACTGTTAACTCTATGCACCTCATGGGATGTACCTTGAAGGACGGGGGGAGAAGAGTAGCCGTTACCCCAGGTCTTTGTATCCTCATGGAAAAACAGTTACTGTGTTTTCAGTTGTCCAAGCTGCTTGGACAAGACAGAAGAGCCACTGAAGGCAGGCGCGCCTGGCGCGCGCGCACACACACACACACACACACACACACACACACACACACACACACAGAGAGAGAGAGAGAGAGAGAGAGAGAGAGAGAATACAAGAAGAAAGTGAGGGAAAGAAAAAGCACAGGGCTTCTAGAATCAGGCTCCTTAACCTGCTTTTGGGACTGAGGACACTTAAAATGACAGAAAAATACAAAATTATATTTTTAAAAAGACAATATAGAGCCAAGTGGTACCCACATACAATTCAGCACCCAGGAGGCTGAGGCAGGAGGACTGCTAAAGTTCTAGACCAGCCTGGGCTATACAGTGGCCTAGAAGGTGAGACCGTGTCTTAAAAATAAAACAAACAGCCGGGCGGTGGTGGCGCACGCCTTTAATCCCAGCACTCGGGAGGCAGAGCCAGGAGGATCTCTGTGAGTTCGAGGCCAGCCTGGACTACCAAGTGAGTTCCAGGAAAGGCGCAAAGCGACACAGAGAAACCCTGTCTCGAAAAAACCAAAAAAAAAAAAAAATAAAAAAAATAAAAATAAAACAAACAATAGCCAAGCAGTCGCTATTTATGGTTCTATAATTTCCTGGAGGAGGTATTTTATTATGCTGGAGAGACAGCCAAACTCTTGCCTTCAAAAATTAAAATTTTTATGGGGCCAATAATAGACACAAATGCTATCAGTGTGGCTTTCAAATATGCATCCCCTTTATAATTAGCAATTTCCTAACCACTTGAGATTGTTGAGTTTGGCACTAAAGAAAAAAGCAAACCTCGAGTACATTCTATCCTTGAGCAAACATGAAAGGATGGAGATGCTAATATAATTTACCTGGAGTGCGTTTTTCCAAGATCCACCGCAATGAACCTGATGCCGAGAGGCGGGAGCGGAGTCACCTAGTCAACCACGACCACACGCTCCAAGAGTTCTCCGCAATGCCTTCAGGGGCCTCTTTCCACCTCCCACATTTCCCCCCCTAGCACCTTTCAGAAACCACGGAGCGAGCGAGCACCCCTCGCGCTCTGTTCTTCCACCTCATCAAGTGCCTCCAAACAGATTTCTTTATGCTGGTATCATGAATGGATCGCGTGGATTACTCGGAGACACGGCATGTGTGTCGCGGGCCTGTTTCACTCAGATGAACAAGCTCACAAAACTTGTGCCGTGTTCCTCTAGCACTTGTATATATTTCAACTTTAAAAAAAAATTTTTTTTTTGACCAGTGAGATGGCTCAGTGAGGAAAGCAGCCTGCCACCAAACTGACAACTTGAGTTTGATCCCCAGGACTCATGTGATAGGAGGGAAGTGACTTGTCCTCTGACCTCTACAGCTGCAGCTTCTCACACACATGCATACACACACACACACACACACACACACACACACACACACACACACACACACACAAATAAACAGTGAAGTTTTAAAAAGAAAAAGGTCTTGCATCAGTCTCCAGAGGGTCTTCAGCTCTAAGATTCTATTTTTTTCTAAATACAACAAAGTGAATTGAACAATCACATCCTGGGACAATCGGTCAGACATCAGCTGAAGTAGGACTCATGCTGTAAAGACCAGGGGACAGTGAAACAGAGGTCGGCTGTGGGGACCCCCGCAAGCAAGCTTGGAGCACCCAGACAGGAGATGCCAGAAACTCAATGGCCCAAGAATAAAAATAAAATTATCCAAAGGGCAGACAGTGAACACCCGCCATAATCGTGTTGTGTAGGATAGCAAAAAGCCCTGGTAATGCAATCATCTGCATTGCATCTTCTCACAAAGTTACCAAGGTTAAGCCAAGCAGCTCCAGATTCAACATGAAAAATGCACAACCTAAAATACTATCTTGAGAAGAGCAGTGTCTGTCTAGAAACGGAGCTGCAATGCAATAAAAGACTTCAAGGTCACGCGATGAGATCAACTAACTCAATAGATTTACTTCGAGCTTTGGTGTAGAGCAGCACAGGACACCGTGCACAGCAGGGCAGCAGCTCATCATGACACCAAACGGTGTGACATCCGGGAGCAAGTCTAGCTAGATACATGCATGACTCCTAAGATAATGAATAAAGCTGAGAAAATACAGATAAGCAGAGAGAAACACCATGTTGGTGGACAGGAAGAATTAGGTCCCCCTTTGTCTTCGCGTGACCCCAGGGCAAGGCTCAGGAGGAAACTTTGTAAAAAGCCAATCAGCAAACTCTTAACATTCATGTGAAAGAAGGCAGACAGAAAAGGTAGCGGCTGGGACTCTCTGGGAACGTATTCAACTCCCGCCTTCTACACTCTGTGCACGCAACAGAGCAGTGGGCCGAACAGAAGACGGGCATGCACGGACACAGCCAGGGCCCTTTAAAACAAGATGCAACTCAGTGCATAGAGAAGACCTTCGAGGGACTCCTGAGCCTCTGTGCGACCGTGACTGCTCAGCCTG